TGGCGCCGAAGAAATATCTGGCGATGACCAGGAAAAATCTACGCCTTACAGTAGGATTTCTGACTGGCCACTGTCAGCTAAGGAAACACCTACATAATATGGGGCTAGTGGACACACCTCTATGCAGGATGTGTGAACAGGAAGATGAGACTGTCAGGCATGTCCTGTGCGAGTGCCCGGAGTTATCGTCAATAAGAGAGTGTGTGTTCGGCGAGTCTTGGCCTACACCTGCCGATATAAAGGAGATGTCTCCCAGCGACCTGTCCACCTTCCTGGAAAGGACAGGATGGACGACGACCTAGGAGGACAACTCCTCGGGAGGATGTACAATGGGTCACATGTGGCCTAAGTGCATGGGCTTACACTCACCCTCCCTACTCTGCAGAGACAGACAGACAGACAGACGCTGGAAACTATCAAAAGTTTCCATAGTAGAATATACGAGAACTATTACAACCTCATCAGGGAAATGAATATGATACGTATTATCCTAAACATTTAATAATAAAAAATAATAATGAATGGTCCTTACTTAACGTTGCAGAGTGTAGAAGAGCGCTATTCTTCCAATCAAGCACGTTTTGAAAAACATTGTAGAAATGGCATTAGGCATTCAATTATTTTTAGGGCTGATTAATAAATATGATAGTTTATATTTATGTTGTCGTAAAAAACAACTTTTAAGTTATTATTTTTTTGATTGAAAGAAATTAGAGCTGATGTCATCAAACAAAGTATTCACATGAAAATATGGCATTCATATGAACGCTCAGTGCAGTGGTTATTTTGCAGTTTGCGATTCGCAACAAAATGCTTGGGGTGCTTTGCTTACTTTGACTAGTAACAGTAGGGGCATACACCCAAATACAGTGTGTAAAGATATTATTCCATCATTGCTATTAAATTTCAATGGAACTTTGTTTTAGATCCATTCATAGCGTACAATCCAGACTAAAATCACTGTGGGATCCATCTGATGTAAATATATAGCGAAACGGAATCCCTGGGCGGATGTCTGTAGTAGCTTAGGACGTAATAGGAAAGAAAGAAAGAAGAAGAACAACGTCTCATCAGAACAGAGAACGATGTTTGATGTTTGAAATTTAAAACAATTTTGAATTTTAATCATCTAACAGGAAAATGTACGATACTGAAGATCTTTGAAGGCGTTATAAATAAAAATAACAAATATGTCTCACAAGGATCGACCTTGTATGTATAATGAAAATCATGTTTTACAAGTAATTGATCAAAATGGAATAGCAGAGGAAAAAAATATAAATTTAACTATCATGAATTGTAACGATTCTTTGGTAATTTTCAAACTAACCTAATCTAAAACTTTTACAAGTATTGTTTCTTTTCTTTTTAGCAAATCAAGATTCGCGATCCTACTGAATACAATTTCAATTATACAGAGGTTATTGACTTAGGTCTTTATGAAATGATGAGAACCAAACAAAATCTCGATATCAATTTCAATGAATTCAAAAGCACCTTGCTAGATTTGTTGCAGCAAGTACAAAGAAAAGAAATGTAAGTCATTTCTTTGATATAAACATTGATGTAGGGGAAGGTATCTGGAGTAGGTATCCACCCTATGGAATTATTAAATTCCCTACATTACCAAAAGCAATTCAAACATGACAATTTGTCTTGCATCTTATGCCAATTCAAATTTAATTCTACTTTAGAAACGGTCTGGGCTTAGGGGGCCTTTATCCATATAGTTTTAACTTTTTTTAAGGTTCTTGAAGTGTGAAACCACAGAGCAGCTGTGTACTTTGGTATATTATTATAAGTCAAAAATCAAATCAACTGTGTACTTAACATTGGATTTGCATGTAACTAACCAGAAGGAAATTTTTGATGAACTAATAAATAATTTACAGCATATTCAGGTATAAGTACATAATGATAGTTGTAAACCTTGAATGATGAATTTTTTTTAAGGACATCAACAACAAACTAAAAAAACAATTATCTAATGTTAAAAAAAATGTTCTGGAAAGAGATCAACAAATACATCATCTTACTATCCTTCAGAATCAACTGGAAAGGCAGTTTCATAATGTTAGTCAATGAAATAAAAATAATTGAATTGTATATTTGATTCTTTTCAGCAATTGAAACAATTTGAAGATTTGTGTGGTGTTAAATTTAGGGAAACAGAGGATGTAGTATTGTCCAAGATTCGTTTGACTAAGCACAGAGTTGATAATTTGGTAAATACCATTGATATATTAAAGAAAAAATTTATTTTCGAAAAAGAGTCAAGTACACGATTAATGAAAACTTTGGAAAGTTTTCAAAAGGAAAATGCAGAAAATTTTGCTTTGATTAACCAACTGAAGAAAGAAAATAATGCATTGCATGCTGTGCAAATTAATCAAGAGAAGAGTAATGCAGATTTGAGACACATTTTGAATGATAGGGATTCAAAAATTAAAGATCTCCAAAAAAAAAATGTAAGTAACCTACTATATCTTAAAAAAAAAATTAGTTGATTGTATAAACAATGTTTTTTTTTTATTAACTGGAATCGGTAGAATAACTAGAATATAGGATACTGAAATTAACTTTTGTCTAATTTCTGCTAAGTTTTATATTTGTTACGAACCATTCTCTCAAAAAATTCAGTTTATTTGAGAATGGTTCAACAAACCGAATCCAGTTGTAACACATGAAAAACTAAGTAGAAATCAGACAAAAGTTATTTTCTTTATCCTATATTCAATCTGAATTTCTACAAAATAAATAGGTCATCAATCGAACAAGAATAACTTGAATTATGTATACTGAAGTAACCCAGAATAACATTGATGGAATCAATAATTTCAACATTGTATTTTGTTTTCTCCGCTACACCTTACACAGTAATACGAAATGAAAAGCTGCAATGGACAAGGAATTAAAGATCATATAAAGGATGGTAATAGAAAAAAAAATTATAAAAATATTGAAATTGTTACGGTTGCATACCTAATGATACTTTAGTTTAAAAACTATTTTTTTTCTTTTTTTGAGTTGTAGCAGGCGGTGTTTAGATTATTGAAAATGTGAGTCGCTGATTAAAGATCCTTCTCCAAGTACCATATTTAAACCAAATACAACACAACCTAGTATTGAAGAGGATATGCTCAGATTTTATACATATGAAACATTTCAGTTCCAGAACTTTCAACAGAATTAAACAATCATACCTGACATAAGGCTCCTAAAAATTGTAAGATGGAAGTGAATAATTTTATATGAAAGATATAAATTTGTTTGATTCGAATAAATATTAATTTTCATTTCAACTAATACTGATGCCTTTTAATAAATATTAATTAATTTAATTATTTGTATTGATTCATGTACTCGTATATGTTCTTAACAACTATAACTGTCTATTGCCTGAAATGTTCATTCTCTAAAAAGGTGGTACTAGAATTTAAAACTATGGAAACAAAATAAAAGCAAATGAAACCTTCAAAATATTAAAATACTAAAAATAACAAAACGAATATTCGGGTGAGTGAGTTGAATAAATACCAAAAATTAAAAAAAAAAGGAAAAATAAATAAAGAGTGAGTAAATGTAAGAACGCTTAAAATAAAAAAAACAAAACCAAGCTACTTCACAACAATAGAATTTCATACTCACTGTTGATTATTTTTTCTGATTTTTAATGTTATTTTCTCATTATCTAACTCATCATGTTATGATCATAATTTCAATATTTCTAATATTCCATTCATCATTTTTTTTCTTTAGGTTTCAAATCTTTTACTACATTTTTAGATGATGAAAGTCTGAAAATGTAACATTCATCAAGAAATATTGTCAGCTATGTTCAAATAAATGTTGTTCATTGTAAGTTTGTGACAATTTCTATAATTGTAATTATACTATGACCCTATGTGGAGAATCTAATGTACTGTCTTGACACTACTAAGTCACTACAAATAATGGGGTAACCACACAGAAGCACGTAAAATTATTAGGTAGAATTATTGATGACTCACTTAAATGGGAAAATCATATTGGCTTTCTGTGCAAAAAATTGTCAACTCAGCTCTACCTTCTTCGCCATTGCTAACTGTGTATTACTCACTATTTCAGTCCCATTTGATGTATAGAACTCTTTTATGGGGAAAATCATCTCATGCTCAAAAGATTTTCCGTATGCAAAAAAGTACTTAAAATAATAGCTGGAGCTTCATTCAACGAACCATGCCAACCTCTCTTCATCTTTTACAAAATACTGCCTTTGCCTTGTATATTTATTTTAAACATTTTGTTAGAGATCCATAATCCACCCAATCAGACTGTCATAATTATCCCACTAGAAATGCAGATAAACTTAGACAACTGCTGAATAAACTAGAAATGTCTATACGAAATTCACTGGACCTCAAGTTGTACAACCATTTACCAGCTGACCTCACTCAGCTCAGTACTCCATCATTCAAGAGGAGAGTTAAAACATTCCTTTAAAAAACTGTTTTTACTCAACACAGGATTATATGATTAGTACTTACACTTAATGATTAATTCACTTGATATTACTTTTTATTTATATGTTGCTATGTGATGTTCTCTAGCACCAATATTTTATTCTATCTAGCAGTTAAGTTTTATTTCAAATGATCATTAATAATTGTATATTATCTTTTAATTTTGTACTCAGTACATCATGCATCTGCACACTTTTTGAGCTGTCATAAATGTATTGAATGCATAACATAATTAAATAAATTCTGCCTGTCTCTCTATAATTGAATCAATCCATTTTATGTAGTCTACATGGAATAAAAAAATATCTTGTAAAACAAGAAAAGTACATTCAAATTTTGATTTTCAGGAGGAACTGAGGTCTGATAATGAGAAAGCAGCGATTATCGTTACCCAAAAAAAAACAACAATCGATGAGTTATCAAAAGATTTAATACAAGCTAATCAAATGTTGGTTAATTTCAATAACCATTATGATACTAAAGTGAAGCAGGTAATTCATCATTAGAGCCATTGCATACATTATCGTTTTAGTGTTTAATTACTTAAACTCTTGATATAAACAGTTCACAATATGTTTATCATGAGTTTCACTTATCATAGATATTGTCAAAACCACATAGTCCAAATCTAAACACTTCTACAGAGGTAGAAGAAAAGTTGTGAAATGTAATTTCTATAAATTTTTACAATGATGAAATTTAATTACTTATATAGAATTGATTTGTCTATCAGGAATGATTTCTGAATCTGTAAAATTCCAAACTATCAATATCAATTATTGTATATAAAAAAAGTTTCGAGTTATTAAACATCTTTCCAATTGAATTGGAAAGCTTATATTTTTAGGAGTGACAAATTTTTTTGGGAAAGAAAATTTTTGGCTTTCTTGTATCAAGATGGAGTAGTAGAAAGCCAAAAACTTTCTTTATCAAACCTTTTTATTGTTTTATGAAATCAAAATGTTCTTGTCAGAATGAGCCATTTCAGAATTCAATGAACAAACTCATGATATAAAGAATAGTGTGGGATTACTATAGATTATTTTATACATTTATTTCAATATAGAAAATAAGTTTCAACTTTCAGATGGTATATACAAAAATATCTTGAATTTAAATTAACAAAGAAAATTAATCCATAGTTAGCAATAATGAATGTAGGTATACTCTTTGGAGACAGTTGTATGAATACTAGCATTGAAATCTGCTTCAAAACTTTCAATAACTCAAAGTGATAGGCTGAAGGTCAAATAATGAAATTTCAAATGATTTTTCGATCATGGAAATTGAGTCTTTTTAGTAGAGCCAGGAAGATGATGGCACTGCCAGCTGTCGAAAGCGCTCGCATATAATTGAATAAGAGTTATAAAGTTCCAAATCGTTTTTTTGTCTTATATTAATATTGAAATACTGGAAATAAAGGAAAATTAGTTGCATCACTCAAAATATATACATATATATAGGTTGCCCCTTTCCTCTCATGCTGACCTACGACTTTGTAGGTAGTGGGAAATAACTTGCGACGAATCTTCCAAGTCGAAGACGTTGCACAGGTGCCTGATTGTTTCAATTCAACTCTCTGCGCGGCATCAGCTGGCTTAGTTGTTGCTTTTCCGTTGGGTATCTGCCACACGTACCTACAAAGTCGTAGGTCTGCATGAGAGAAAAGGGGCAACCTTGAGCATGTCATAATATATATAACCTATTTGACAGCTTCAGTTCATGCTTTTAATTCATTACTCTCGTTCGAAAAAAGGTTGAAGAACTTCAGACCGACCTTAGGTCCAAAGATGAAATGCTCAACATTCAAAAGTCAAACTATGATAAACTACTTGCTGAATATGAAAGATATAAAGTAACATATAATAATGATGGATATGATAAACTCCAACATGAACTGCGAATGGCCAACACAAAAATTGAAGAATTGGAAAAAACACTAAGGAAAGCCAATAAGAGTAAGTGTAAAAGTAATTCAAGAGTATGCTTTTTCCATTTCTTTTGAATGAATGAGTTATTCAATTCATATTTGCTCTTTATTGTATATAACTGAGATTGCATAAATACAGATTGTTTTAATCCTAGTCACAGTTTCGAAAATCATTCATATGGGAAGCTTCCACAATTTCCTTTTATTGGATTTGCTGCTTCTGTGATTTCAGACATTCACCTTGTTTGCTGACCTTGTACTAGTTTCATTTGAAGCTTGCCCTTTATAATTTTATAAATGACCATTAGAAAGAACTACTGAAATATGATATTCGTAAAATTCAACTTATATTCCTCTAAAATTGATGTAGTTAGTTTACATTGAATGTCACGTCACTGGTGAAGGATTTCGTTGGAATATTTTTCAGGATTTTAATAAAGGACTATGTCAACAACAATGAAAAAGCTCTGAAAATCCACCGTACGAGGTTTTTCAAGTTCAGTTGAACTTGTAAATAGATTCTTTGCTGCCAGCATCTTTTGAATTCCTTAAAAAATGTTATTCTAATTTATAAAGAAGAGGAGATCGATGACTCTAACCAAGATTATAGGAATACTGGCCAAAAATCAATTTTATCTTTTCTAGAAAATCATCAAATACTTGCCAAAAAAAAACAAAATGGATTTCAGAAAAAAAACGCAAATGATGCTATGTAGAGCAGACTTTGTGTATCGCAGAATACTGCTCATAAAGCTGGAGCGTTATGGCTTCCGAGGTACTGATGTGAGATTAATGAAGTCATACCTAACAAAAAACGGAAGGTCAAGATTACACGCTCCTTAAAAAAAAGCTAATAACTTGTGGTATACCTCAAAGTAATTTTCTTGGACCAGTCCTGTTTCTACTATACATAAATGATATAACAAAACGACATGGTAAGATTACACTTTTAGCTGACGGCATATAGCAAAATAGAAACATAATACAATCACCTAAGATATAACTGGAATAGAATATTTGGTGTAAATTAAATTTGTCGATCTTCATTATCAAGATGACAAACATCATAGCCTTCTAAAGCACATCACCGGATCGTCAGCTATGGAACTATATTGTAGAACACTTGCCCTGTCCTAAGTTTTGAGTAGTACAGGTTGAAATTTGACGGACATATATTGAGAGATTGGAGTCTTGATATTTTGCAATGAGAATCTGATAGCTATTGAGCTAGACTATTCATCAACCTCATCAGCATACTTGTGTCATTGTGCTCACTTCTTACTTAAGTTAGGACAAAATGAGTTCAAATGTTGTATCCATGACCCTGGCCAGTACTACCAATGAGATATCTATGGTGGATCAAAAGTGAGCTGTCTGGTAATGGTTCGAGAATGCAGTTCTTTTGGGTTCTGCTGGTTTCATGTGAAATATTCTGCTTTTCTACTCATTCTAAAAAACTTGCTTTAAGTGAAATTGAAAAATTTTGATAATAATTCTATTTTCCATTTATGTGTTTAAGATATGACTTTTAAAATATCATGTCCTACAATGTTTGTTACTCCTAGTTTGATAGTTTTCTAAGAAAATATTATTTTATTGTTAGTAATTTTCGTAAAGGCAGATCCTTTTTTGTAATTTGAACATCTTTTTTGCAACGAGGTGCATAGATTGGAATTAACGACAGTTGCTGAAGTTTATGAGGAGTTCTTGGAGAACTAAATACCTCCCGGTATAACTCAATTTTCTGTTTAAACATTTTTTTCTGTTAACCAGCTGTCGCCCCTCTACCAAAGTCAACTCTCATAAGTCGAACTTGTACAAGCGGAGGATTAACGAAGTCTTACCTTTTATCGAGCGATTCCTAGCACGAGTTCGACGATAAAAAGTGAAAATCGATCGTCCTGTCTCGCGGCCTAAACCACCGGTTCACACAGCAGTAAAGTGGAGCAAACCACCTGCTCCAACCCAACCGGTTAACATATAAGTTTGATAACAGAAAATAGTACTATCATATATGTGTTCTATTGAAGAAAAACAGAATGAATGTATGATAAAACAAAACCTCTGGTGTAGAACAGTTATAATGAATCATCTCTATATTGATGACTAAATTTTTCACTTTTTAGTTCAGAACACCTGATTTGAAATTGAACAAATTATAACCAAGTTTGATTCAGCAAATTAATACTATTGATTGAATCATTAATAAAAGTCTAACCTGTATTTGCAAATAATTATAAATTAAAGGCCACAAGTAATCAGGTCGCCTCCAACATGAAAAATTTCCTGTTAGCAGAAACTGCTCGTTATTTGTAACTCATCCTGTATATTGAATAATTTATGCATACTGAGGACAATAAATGATTGAAATATTTCTTTTTCAGTAAACACTTTATTAACTGAAAAGGTCAGTCACCTGTCACTTAAACATAACTAGGACCATACTAGAAGATGAATTCTGAAATTTTTTATCAAGTATATTTTTAGATTGATTGTGAAGGATAAGTAAGTTTTATACAACCAAAAAATGAATAAATGTTATTTTTCAACTGATATTTTATTAACAATATGCAAAACCTAACTAACATCTTTCAAATACTTTGTACAAATTCGGAAGACTTGTTATTTCCAGAATGGCTGCATTTTCTATAAAGCTTTTTGGAGGAATGAAATACTCTTTTATGGCAGGATAGAGCACATGTTCAGTAACCCATCGCCAATCTTTCCCAGTTTGATTAGGCTCTTCAGATACTTCTGCATAAAACTGCGCAGTTTCACGAGCAAATGTTTGGAAGCATTCCTTTTCTGAATCCCAATTCACTTCAGTAGCTAATCGTACAATGTACATTGGAAGAGCTTTAGGATCCGGCATATATTCATCTGAAAATAAATAAGTAATTTTAATGCAGATATAAAACTTTTCAGATACATACTTTTCTCTTTTTCTCAACTGAAATTGAGCTTAAAATTGTTGATTATTTTTATATGTGTACATTATTTTTATGAATGAAACTACTAGAATGAATGATTTGCCATGGAATAAAAATTATGAAAATATTACAGTAACTGATCTTACAAACTTATTTCTTTTTTACGATGTTGAATGCTCTAATGGTGGATGAAAATGGATTTCCACATCAAAACGTGTATAATAAAAATTGAATATGATAATAATTATAGAATTTTTGCAATAACCTGTATTTAAGAAGCTTTTGCTAATGTATAGTGAAACACGTCAGTATCACGGATAGTATTTATTAATTTTCATCAAGTAAAAGGTCAGAGTATTCGTAATAAAGATTTATGATATGAAATGTATAAAACAAAAAACTTCAAAACTCCCACTCTTAGGATTCATCCATGTCAAAATTTTACGGTATTATAGATTTTTTTGAGAAAAGTGCTATGAAAAATATTTCCAAAAAACTTGGGGTTTGTTATGAAGAAAACATTTTCAAGTTTTTATCTACCTTTTCTGGGACTACTCACCTTCTACAATCTCAAAAATTAAAAATTAGTAATGAAGAACTTTATACAGGTGTCAAAAGGACATACTTCTAGTTTACCCTGATAAGTTACTGCATTAAATCAATATCTTTTTTTTTTTCAAGAAAAATTATCTGTTATCAGTAACTACATTAGTATCTAATAATTTTGCCTTATAAAAAAAATTGATGATTTTTTTATAGGGTTCTTATCTTGACGTTTCAGAGACTTAAACGTTGCTCCGTCTTCAGAATTCAAAATCAGCTATTCCCCAGTTTTCTTGCAAGTTACTCTATTTTTAAAATTTCTTTGACAGATGACAAAGGAATTCTGAAATATGATTTATGTCAAAGTTGGTGATGGGCTATTTGAACATTCAATGTAGTACAAGGTGTACTCTTATATCAGTATGGTGTAATTTCGATACTTTTTGATGAGGAGTCGAGTACTATCCGTCTTCAAAGAATAGTTTGATATTCAGTTTTTACCTGATATAAGAAAGTACTTCGAATCCTCGAGTTTGTGTTTCTTATCATATAGTTTATTACAAGACATTGACCAGTTACTTGAAAATTAATGACACTATCCATGATAATTATACAATTTTCATATTTACGACGCGTTTCGCTACACACTACCTTCATCAGTTGGACTGGTACATCAAGCTTTTCTACAATATATTTTACATAGCAGTAGGTAATTGAAAGAAGTATTTGATAAATGCTTGATTCTAGTAATACAGGTACAAGTTCAATAATGGTGAGTGAATAACTTCTTTGTCGTTCAAAAGAAAATTTGAATATTTGCATTTATTGATTTCCAGAGAATCCAGCAGGTTTGATTTTTGTCATTTATTTTCTGTATGTAATATGTCGTAGTCCACGTTGAAATCTTGGTTGTTCTCCAACAGAAAAATCAACCTGTTAGAGAACAGGAGAAAACTAGTTAGTTTTCTTCATTTCTTGAAGACGCCAACTTGGTTGATGAAATGCATATTGAGAAGAATATTGCATTTCTGATGATTGGGAAATGTGTTTGTTTTGGATGAATTCGGTGATAATATTGTGATCGATTTAGATAGAGTAAAAAAGACTATCTTTCATCACTACACAGTCCTATATTTAAACTTCAGGTGCGTTTTGAATAAGATTATGCTATGACATTCGACAATCCATACATTTCAAATTTATGCAAGAAACTCATTGGGATATTTTGTCTTTTTTTTTCGAGAGAGCATCGAGACCCGTTTATTTTGCTCAGATATGGAATTTATTTCTGGGGAGCAATACCTCTTAGGCTTTGATAAATGCTGCTTTTTTTACTCTCTCTCATTAGTTTCACAAAATCAAACCTTTTCAACATATCCAAAATTATTAGTGGCGAGAAGAACGACAATAATTCAAAACTATTTTAGTTCATTCACCAACAAAAGGCTAAATGTGATCGGCTGAAAGTGAACAGATTGCTCAGAAAAATGTATCTTCACAAGACAATAAAATTATTTCTGAAAGAAATATTTGTGCACAACCTGTTGCAGGAAAGTATATGTATGAAAAGTTGTAATAACTATTTCAGTTGAAGTATACCTTAAGACAAATTTATGTAAATTCTTGCGTCTTTTTTTATGTTTAGATTCTTGTATGTATGAATTCTTGTTAATAATTAGCCAGGCCATCCTAATGAACCGAACAAATCCTTTCATTTTTCCACATAACTTTACTTAGTTTGTATTCTTACCAAGCAAAATGGGTATGCTACAGATATTTCCTGACTCATCAATATTTATTGAAAAGTAATCAAGGAGCATTGGCGCTTTGTCAGACAAAACTGTTGTAATACGCTTTGCAAGTTCACTTTTGTCTCCATCTTCTGGTGTCCATCCAGCCTCAGGTAACTCCAAGCAAATTAATGATAATTCATAAAGTGAAATTTTATTTGAAAATATGTATGTGTCTAAATTCTGAAAGTTGTACATAATGAACTGGTAGAACAGCTCCATCAGAATGGTCTTTGTGTTACAAAGGAACAGTTTAGTACTGTACTGGATCAGCGCTTGAGATGGATTTATGGCACCAACAAAAACATGCTGGGAAAAACTTTCTCTTAATGCTCTGTGGCATGTGTCTTCAATTTCTTTTCTTAACTGTAGGACACTAGTTAATTTAGTTTCAACTCTGCAATATAAAACAGGATGTGATTCATATTTTAAAAATGAAGAAAATTATACCTTGTGATTTTTTTTATGAAATCAGTTGTAAGTGGTTTATTAGTAGTCTGTTGCTTGGTTGAACACTTGTCTTTCGACTTTTCTTGTATTTCTTCAATTTGCTCCTTTTTTTGTTCAATATATTCTATTTCTAAAACAAAGTTAATTTTTCTACATCATCATCGTCACAAAAATATACTTACCTGGATCAGTAAAAATATCCTCCGTTTTGTTCAAAATCTTACTTTCTAAATTTTCTGTTCTTTTTAAGAATGACTCGTTATGTTTTTGGTATTCTTCTTCTGTGAGAGATTCATTAGGATTTTTTTCTTTAATATCTTCAACTTTTTTGCTTGAAGGTTCACCAAAAAATTTCTCCAACTTTTGTTCTCGAGCATCTGTTCTGACTATAGAATTGGGCTTAATCTGCTTAGTTGAAGTATCACTTTCGTCTCTTTTAAACTCGATAGCTTCTATTTGTAGTGATTTTGGTAATTTTGCCTGTGCGAAAAACACAGTTATTCGCTTTTAGCTTGTCTTTATTAGAACTTGATTAATTACCTGTGTGAAAAAACTGCGAGAGTTGTTTGATCCTAGTAACTTTGTCTCCAAAGCACTTGTAATACATTCAACTATTTGCTCTTCATTTAAAAAATGGACCTCATGCTTTGTAGGGTGTACGTTTACATCAATATTGGATGGTTCCAATTCAAGACTCAAATAAACAAAAGGATGAGTGTTTTTGGGTAAATATGTTGTATAGACTCGATCAATGCATTTTTTCAAACCTGAAAAATTCCATTATTAATTTGATGAATAGTCATTTGTTCATTCCGGAGAGGTGCATATGACATAAAAAACACCTTACCCCTTTACTCTCATATAAACCTACGACTTTTTTGATACGGAAACGACGAATCTTCTGTGCGGCATTAGCTGGGTTAAATGTTGTTTTTCGGTCTGGTATCTGCCACACGTACCTACAAAGTCGTAGGTCTACGCGCGGGCAAAGAGTAAGGTGTTTTTTCACATGAACTTGGTGCATGTAACATCTTCAAAAATATTCATTTAAATAACATGCTGTAAATGGACATAAGAAGAATATATTTGAGGTATTGGAAAAGAAATAATGCTGTATTGTTTGTAGGCCCCTTTTCAAGGTGTACAATACTGTCGTACATTTTTTTTATGTATTTCGTAGGGTTCAGCCAGCACTTGCAATGTAATTGCAAAAAATGTGTTTATTTATGACATTTACACCTCTAAAATTATCAGTGTTTCTCTACTATATATAAATCTTTTGGATAGATCACAACCTATTTTCCTACCTATTTTTTTGCCTTGATTTTCTACCACTTTTGAAATTGTCCAGTTAAAGCAGAATATTCCATTTTATATTGATTGTACATTTCTTAAGGTGCTTGTGATGCACTGTTTGGAACCTTAGGTGTAGTAATGAATATTACTGGAGTTTTTTCCAACACCAAATCGATATTTTTAACACCTCGACACGTGTTTCGATCACCAAGTTCAATTTTCCTCTTGAATATGATCACTTGGTGATCGAAACACGTGTCAAGGTGTTAAAAATAACGATTTGGTGTTGGAAAAAACTTTAGTAATATTCATTTCTAAAGGTGATAATTAAAACTTTACCGCACTTTCTACCCCTTGCTCGTTATACTTGTCAGTTTTAAGGTCACAAATTCAATTATAATTGCCTATTTATTGTGTATTACAATGTACTTGAAATGTTAACATGAGTAAATTCTCCTTCGTGAAGTGAAGAAAAGTTCTTGAAATAGATGGTGAACAGGGTGAACTCAAGAGTATTCAATATTATCTTTAATATCGTATTAAATGTGCTTTGGATACCAGATTACCATATATGGTATTAAATCTTGACGAATAAATGGGTTATATTTAGACTTGATCAGTCTCAATTTTCTTACAGTTGAGATTTTTCATAAGTATTCACGTAGTAGGAACAGCAAGAATGTTGTCTAACTTTTTCAGGAAGAAATTTCATATTACGACGGTCCTTAAACCCAACAAAAGATACTGATATATTAGTATATGCCCTTTATAATGGAATTTCATCAAATTACATGTTGCATAGACTGAATTTAAATGTAAGTAATTAAAAAAATAAATAAATATTTGAAAGGTAAATATACAGCTTAGCAAATTACAACCTGCTGTTGAGAAATGAGCCGACATGCCGATGAAGAAGCGAGAAAGTATTCAAATGACAAATAAGTATGGACAAAGTTGTTATTAAACACAATATGAAGCCTACATTTTTCGAAAAAGAATTCAATGAAAGATGAATATCTAAAAATTTCTAGAACTGGATGCAGTAATAAATATAGGGCTTCTCACACTGTCCACTGAGAGGACTCCTGAAAATATGGCTGTATAATGAAGACTTCAACTGCAGGCAATGCTAACAAAGAGACAGAAACAGCTTGTCATGTTTCATTCGAATGTAGGCACTGAATCACAACAGACAAGTAAACTATGGACAACCCAAATTAGGCCCAGAATAATATCCAACGAGGGCCCCCTCGAAAACTAGTTCAGAGAACCAGATAAGGCTATGAGGCTGCAGTGTTTTCCGGAGACATGAAAAAAATGGAAGAGAGACGGCTCCTAAGAACAGCAGAGTTCAGAATTGATTTCGATATTCTTTCTGTTACAGTTTGTCGATTTTCTTATAAGCTATGACTCATATAGGCGCAGATGTCGAATTTACGCTTAAACACTCCTCTATTAAGCGTTTTGAAAAAAATTCATTTGATTTATAGTAGTATTCGGTTGAAGATAGACCTAGCGCACATTCATGCGTATATAAGATATAGTAGCCAAATTCTACTTTAGATTTGAGTTTGCTTATTCACTATATTGTTAAAAATCTGTTTTCCTAATTCAAGTAAGTTCATTTTAGTTTTATTGTTAAAAAGTTGTCAATTGATCTTTTAGAAGAGTCAGTAGGACTTGTTTTCTAATTACACAGTGAGTAATTTAGTCAAACAGTAATCATTTTCAGCAGTTGCAAAATATTTCTAAAAACGTTTTCTTATTAACATTACAATTGGTTGGTTGACAATTGTTTCTAATCCCTCATAATCTGCTTAGATTCTATTATTATCCATGTCAAGAAATTAGTGATTTCCGAATCTATTATCCTTTTTATTCGTGTATTATTGGTATACTTTGTGTCGTTTCTGACTGTACCAACATTTTTTTCGTAAGTGCTGCATAGTAGGGCTTTAGTTTAACAATAAGAAATCTGCTTTAATAATAGTAATAACCAAGGACACTGATAATCTCGAGACAATTCCACTACTTTTTTTAAGGACAAAACACAAACACTACAAGAAAATCCTTAAGGCGCTCCCAGAGCGGTGCCTGTGCAAAAGTAGCGATTCACATTGGATTTGAATCGGTGGAGATTAAATCCATTTGAAAAAAACGTTCTCAGGAAGTTTATTCCACATCAACGCAGTTCTCCAGATGAAAGAGTTCTTAAACAGTGAAGATCGAGGTGTACTGAGTTGAACCTCAAAACGAGGAGCAACCACAGTCCATCGCGTATTTCTGATATGTACCGCTCTTGGTGGAATCAAATGTGCCAAGTCAGTTGAACACTTCCCGTGAAAGTATCTATTGAAGAGAGATAAATCTCCAACCTTTCTTCGATGTTCCAGGTTATCAAGGTATGATCTGAGCTTTATAAACCATCAAAATTTGCTGAGGTGTGTACAGTTTACTGGTTCAGAACAGTGTTCCAAACTTTTGAGAAGCAGCCTTTGCAATTCCAGCAACATGATTATGCCAAGACATATTGGTGTCCATTTTAACCCTCAACAAACCTGTCAAAGCAGAAAGCAGAATTGTCTGACCTGACATTATTATATCCGGTTCGGAGACATTTATCTTCTTGGAGAAAACCAATGCCTGGGTTTTTGTGGTATTGAATTGAATCTGGTTACTTTCATCTCAACTCGAAATCACTTCTAGATCATCACTGAGATATGCAACCTCCTGCTGCTGGTGAAGATGTACCTCTGTAGCCGATGTCCTGGAATCCAAATGAAATGACGAGACAAGTGTGCTGTCGTCAGAAAATAAATATATTGGATTCTTGTTTTTTTCCAATAAGTCGTTGATATACAATAAAAAAGGGGTTGGAGACGATATGAATCCCTGGGGAACACTAGATAAAAGTATTCGAGAGATATCCATCAAAAATCACTTGCAGGGAATGTTCTTTTAGGAAGCTGAAGAGCCATACAGAGAAATGATCCGACAAGCCATAGCATCGAAGTTTGGCCAGCAAACCCTCATGCAACACAAGGTCAAAGGCCTTAGAAATATCAAGCGCAATAGTTCTTGATTCTCCATGTTGTGAAAAATTTGTATTGGCTTAACGAGTATTCATCAGTGTTCATGGGTTATTTAGATAGAAAATATTTTGCAATCCATATTCCATATTCAACATTGAAGAAAATCAACAAAAACACTTCTCCCAACACAACAGAGGTGTAATCCTTTTAAAAAACAAGTTGGTTCAAATTGGAAGAAGAAAACCTTACTCTTCAATTAATTTTTTTCACCAACTTTTGTTCACATAAGAATGAGATGTATAATATATGTTCAAATCTGTCAATTAAGCTACAATATATGCAAGAAGCTGTACCAAAAAATTTTCAAACTACTAAAGATACTTGATTTTGAACTAAATGTGTTTTGAGATTGCTTTATTTAAAAATTTCGAACAATGAACAAAAATGCTTGATATTTCATGATTCATCTGTTGAGTGATCTCTATGACACAGGAAGTGATAATGTAGTTAGAAACATTATCCGTGTAATATTGATCTCAATGCCCATGTAATTACAAATAAATTAATTTGTTTGGATTTTTATTTAAGCAAAACATTATCACTTAAAGTAGTGAGATATTCCGTTTTACACAAAAAAATTCTATTCAATCATTGCTTGCTAGGGATAAATGTTTGTGAAATTGTCACAGAATAGACAATCTTGGGAAACTGTGAAACAATTTATCAACTTACTTTGACAGTCAACCAATCTGTGGTTGATAAATAATAAGAACTGAAATTTTTTTGTTGAATAATTAACATTTGTTATGTATCCTTTCACTTTGAATTTGAAAGGTTCATTTTCTAATGAAAAATCAATCAGTTCTCGGGCTATTGCATTTCCATATATGGTTCTGATGTTATCAATATGTGATGAATTTTGTGGAGTTCTTATATCATTGCTCTCGCCAGCTTTTTTCAAGGCAAAACCTGAAAATAAATTATTCAATTATGAAATATGTAATTGTTTATTGTGTTCGTTACAAGATGCAACTTAAAAGTATGTCTCAAAAATGTTTCAAACACAAAAAAATTAAAAATATTGGTCAAAGTCTGAACCCAAGACATAATTCATTGACAAGAGAGGATAGAGGAAAAGAGGTATCTAGAGCATAAGATAATGAAAACAATGGATAATAAAATTTTCTGCAAAGATTATGCATCATGAAATTTAGTCAATACGACTAAAAAAGTATATAATAATTTACCAACTCTAGCATTATGAATAGCATATTTGCTGACAACTTCCGAAATTTTCTGATATTCTTCTGCAGGAGACCTCAACGATCTTTTTCTCACCATCATATTATAAAACAAATCTTCAACAGTTATTATAGTTCCCTGGTTACCAGCTGTAGGTTTAGGATTACCTTGCAGCTTACTATCTATGAAATGTGCTCTGAAACTATTCAGATAGAACTATTGTTAATTTATCAAAAAAATGTTTTACTGATAAGCACAAATATCCTTCTTAGTTTTTGAAATTATAGTCAAGTGGGCAATATGAGAAATGCTAGCCAAAGCTTCGCCTCTAAATCCATATGTTGATATTTTATGTAGATCTTCAAATTCCTTCAGCTTTGAGGTTGTAAAACGTTCACAAACTATTTCAAAATCTTCTTTTCTTATTCCAGTACCATTATCTTGAATCTGAAAAATTAATATGGAATTTAATGAAAAACAACATGTTTTTGACATGTTGTTATATGAAGTGCTCGTCATCGTACTTATAAAGTGTGCAAATGAATTCGTACCAGTATTTTTCAACCTGTCTTGCGAGAAAGGGTATTTTTCCTTCTTGTTGAAAGATTGCTTGCGTTCAGCCCATTCCCAAAAACGGCAAAAAAAAATCTTCCAAATAATTACCCTCAGGCTAGACAGGGTCGATTGCTTTTTTCCAAAGTTAAATGATCGCCTTATCATTCCGAATATTCAAGAATATGCTAATTATCACCTTTCTTCATGATTTTCGAAATCACTGTTAGTGAAGCAACTAGTCTATAGTCATTTGGAAGAGTATTCTTACCCTTTTTGAACATAGGTTGAACTCAATCAGTGTTGAAAATTCAATGCATAAAATATCAGAAGATAGAAATATTAAGAGCAGATAGTTGTTGGTTCAAAGATGGATCAAAAACACCTTCAGACTCTAAGTGCAAGTGTGTTCAGTTGCAGACTCAGGACAGAGATATCAACCTGCCTAGGGACCTATGTGATTGTATTTCAAGCGGAAATCTATGAAATTGAATTGTGTTCGAAGAGACTGGTAGAATCTAAACTTATACACAAGTCAGTAAAAATTTTCTCTGACAGTCGAGCGGCGTTGAAAGCACTTGACCCCTATTGAGCAACATCTAAATTGTTAGCAAATTGCCAAAAATGACTCTCCTCGATAGGAAGACTTAACAAACTGTCTCTGGTCTGGATTCCTGCCCACACGGGCCTGGAAGGCAATGAGGCTGCTGTCATTGGCATCACTTTAGGTTTTACCAAACTAACATTGTGCCTGTCCTGCTGCGTAACGAGTCAGGTTTTCAGAGTTTGGCAGAGTTACACTTATCATCTGACCTGAAAGATCACTCACCATATAAACGAATCAGCTTCGTTGAGAAGCTGGGTTTATTTGATCTAGTTTGAATATGGGTGAGTCACAATAAACTCTTGGGGGTTGCGGTGGAGGTCGAATAGGCCCACTCGCTTTTGACCTAAAGTAACCTAACATAAAATGTCAAATAATAATACAACAATCAGTTTTCTAACAAGAAAAAAAACCCCCTTGTATGGAAGTTAGGTTAAAAACCCTGCAGAACACTGATGCATTTTTCAAGTAAGATAATAGGTACTTTAATAGGACCAAAGGCTTCGCTTATATTCAATTGTTTCAGTATTCGTCTAATACTAAGCTGTCGAAAAGAAAATGTGAATTAAAAAGTAGGGAATGTGGATGTATTATATCCATTTCTGAGACAGTAACAGTAAGTTCAGAACACATGTTGTCAGCCAGGGAAAATATTAAAAAAGGTTTCGAATATTATTCCATCTAGTAGATCTTAAGATAAAGAGAGAAATTTCAAAATTATGTATAAATAAGTAATAAAAGAAGTCATTTTGATACACTTGTTTCAATTCCAACTCTGGTTTCGGTAAGTGCCTGACTAGGAGAATTTTTTTGAAAATGATAGTGCACTGAACGTATATGATTGTTAAATCCTGCTATAGAATATTATAGAATGGGTATGCAATTGCAGTTACCATGTTTTACTGAATTTTGACACTGAGAGTTCCATGAAGAATTTTTGTTTTGGTCCCACCCTTGAAACCTGAAACAGCATCTCAGTAACAAAATGTATGCTCCTCGGAAGCAACTTCATGCTTCCTAAGTCACTGGAATAGTCTCTCATTGAGCCCTTCCAAGTGACCAGTCTACCATTTACCATATCCCATGCCATTAAGAAAGGTTTTCAAGCTTCAAGTATCAAGCTTCATAATCATATGCTCCGTTACAATAGAAAAAAAAAAGAAATATTGTTGAAATGAAAATCAATCCGTAGGTATTTTGTTTCTTGGATTTTAGCTAAACTGTAAAGTAATAATCTTAATTTTGTTTTTTTAACTCGTGTTATTTTGAAATTCTACAATTTTATGATTTACTGCATTTGCGTTTATGCAGTTATTTCTATTAAGTGCTTTTCTTGGTTTTATCACATTTTGTCTTCAATCGAGGACCGCCTCCCGGTACTGACGATGCCCAATAGGCTGAAACAGCTGTCTACCGGTATATCAAAGCATTACTGGTTTTATAAATGAATTATACCTGAAGTAACTTCATTCCTCCGTCTTTAATAGTGATTTGTATGTTTGTAGCTTCAGCATCGAGGCTATTTTCAATTAGTTCTTTTAAAGCATTTGCAGGGCGTTGCACAACTTCTCCAGCAGCAATGCGATTTATTACGTCTTCATCTAATTTGATTATTGGAGGTACTTCCATATTCATGGTTACTCTGTGTGAGATCCCTTAAAAAATACATGATTTTTTTTTAAAGAGTTTATACCATTGTGTACGCTTTTATTATTGCAGACAGTGTAATATTGAAGCAGGCAGCAACTCTTACATTAATGTTTAATAGTTTAATGGGAACATGAATATTTCATTTTCAAATTTGAAACCACTTTTTTGTTCTCATTTGAATAAGGAACACGGAACCAAATGATCTTTGACAGAAACACAGGCACAAACCACAGATAGAACACTTGTTGATTCAAAGTGTTCTGTAGTCACATTTCACATACAGAAAAACAACATGGCAAAAGTATTAGTGACTGGATTGACTATTAATCGAATCAATTTGTGAGGTTGCAGTCAATAGCTAGGCTGTTACAAATAAAACTCTTTGTTATATGTCAAGCTTTCGAGACATGAAATATATATCATCACATAGTATAGAACAAAGCCGCTTCCCGTTGTCTATCCCTATGTATGCTTAAATATTTAAAACTACCCAACGGATTTTAATGCAGGTTTTTCAATAGATAGAGTGATTCAAAAAGAAGTTTTATTTGTATATAATATGCATAATATAGCAGAGAAACAATGATAATTTTAGAGGTTTCTAATGTGATGTCGTAAATAAACACAGTGTTGCGTTCACATTGCAAACGCTGGCTGAACCCTACGAGATAGATATTGTAGTAGGATAGGTATTGTAGTATTGTACACCTTGTCTACAAAAAAAACGGATGATATATGTCTATCTCTTAGGGATAACCTACAATAACCATGTTTTATCCTCGAGAAATAATGGCTTATTTACAAAGCAATACAGCGTTAATTATTATCAAATAAAGTTCCTTGAATACATTGTCATTTAATATACGTCAGTATGGTCATTTATAGCATGTAATTTAAGTGAATATTTTCTATATATATAAATTGAAATCAATATAAGAATGATCAGAAGAGTACTTATCTATTTATCTTTTGATTTTCTTGGATTTATTTTCCAGCAGCTTGACTGCATTAACCTTTTTCGATTTCATATCATTTTTGTAAATACGTGGATTCGTTTTCCGATGACATTCCAGGATAGCTTCCCAAATTTCTGCTACCGCAGTTGTCGGTTGATTGGTCAAACCACCAACACTGACATAAAAACTTGGCAAGTTGACTTGGTTGTCACACCAATAGGTGGTACACTCATGTCTCACTTGCGTTTACGCAGTTATTTTTATCAAACTCTTTTCTTGGTTATTCACATTTTGTCTTCAATCGAGGACCACCTGCCAGGTACTGACGATCCCAAACAGGCTGAAACAGCTGTCTACCGGGTGGTTTTTAAATTGAAATCAATATGGGAATGATCAGAAACCGGATTATTATCATTTGGATTCTCATTACGATCCCTGGAATATTTATTCTTGTAACCAGTGCAACGGAACAGTTGATATGTCGATGCTATTGGTTCGGTCACTGCGGTGACGGATGAGTTACCAACATGTCCCGTTACTAACCAGACTTCAGTGGCCATCCTCCTATGGACAAATAGTAACTTTCTAGAAAATGGAATGTCGTATGAATTGATATTGAAACACTGGAAAATTCACAGAACACTGAAACATAGATTGCATATAACCCTCAGAGTAACATTTTGTTACTCTACTCTGAGATATAACCCAACCCCACATGAATGTTGACGTTGACAGATGAGTTACAGTAGAATGCTTGTGGATAAGTCTGAATTGATATATTTTAGAATTGAAGATATGTTTGAATTTAAATTATAGAAGAGGCGTTATTGTTTGATGTGCAATATTTAAACATGACGGAAGTAGATGTGTTTATTAGTAACTATACTGTGGTAGATCCAGAAATTTACCAACTGTGGGTTGATGGATATACTGGTTTGACAATATCTTTTAACATTAGGTTTGAAAGTACCTTTTCATTCTTCTAGCCAGTGAAGCAGTGAATATACTAAATGGCAAAGGTCTTGGCCAACAAACTGGTGCCTCGATTGAGCTAATTGCCAGTGATGTCTTGGATCACTATCGTACATATTCCTTACTCGAAAAACTGCTAAGTTATCCCAATAAGTTACAAGAGCAGTTTGTCTTACAAATTGATTCCCAGACCAGTTCATTACTCGTTGAAAAGTTGTGGATCCATTAGTATTTGGCGAAAAGTTTATATTTTATTTTCAGATACTATGAATTTGATGATGAGGTTATTCGGGAGATACTGGGTAAAAAATTGTCTTCAAAAAATAGAAAAGATTTGGATGAGGTGGCCGAAAAGACAGGAAAACCTTTGAAATCATGCAGGTAAATTTAAGAATATTTATATTTTTTTCATTCAAAGTTTGGTTTTCTGTTGAGTACTTACATTATTTTAGGCGACAATTTGATAATGTTAAAAAAATATTCAAAAGTGTAGAGGAGGTTCCTGGATCTACTGTTGAAAATGTTAAAAATTCATTTCAATTGAGTGATGAGCTTGCAAAGAAATACTCTTGTATTGTGTTTGTAGCTTGCATGAGATTTGAAACATCTAAAAAGAAGCTTCAGCATATGTCGTTCAATGATTTTCGAATATGTTGTGAATCTATAATGGAACATTGGACATATAATTTAGCAGGTAATGTATGTATGTATGTGAGCTGATAATACATAATAAATTACCAGGTAGGTATTGAATTGTAAATGTGAGAAAAAATACTTAACTTTTAATTATTTTCAGGTACAGAATATAATGATTTAGAAATGGATAGAGAATTCTTATTTGAACTAAGAGAACTTAAAGCGCTCTTGGATAAAGATAGAGAGCATAAACAGTAAGAAAAATTATCTATCAAAGGGTGACTTGTGTATCAAAAATTTAGAGAATGAACATGGAGTATAGTTTTTTTGAAAATTGTTCATTTTTCTTAAATGTTAATAAAAGATGATTGTTTCAAAAAAAGCTTTGTGTAAAGGAACTTCTCTTTTAAATTTCCATTAGACTATAGCATGCTGCAATTTAGTTTCTTCTCGAGTCTGATAAATATATTTTGGAAATTGAATAGTTCATCAATTCAGAATTGATTTCACTTACCCATGGATTTTTCAAATATAAATGTTCAAACCATCTCTCCTGATACAAAATTTCTGAAGTTACCATTAAGCTACATTCAGTTAGTTTGAAAAAATGTTATTGAATATATTGTTTAATTATAAATTGTTCATCTTCAAAATGAGTTTTCCCAACTTTTTCACAAATTTTATTTTCATTACTAGAGGAATGAACCTCAAGAGCTCAAGAGAAATATGGAAAATGTGAAAAGTGTATTGATTCATTCATTTATTTCCTTGATTTTTGATACTCATTCAGAACATTAGTCATATTACTTTGGCCATTAGCCAATTTACTTTATACTGACCACTACTTATTTTTCTAGTTTGTTAATGGTGAATTTGAAACCTAAATTGTTACAGAAAAACTTTCTTGATCTGGATATGAATTTTAAGCTGTATACTAGAACATTATTGACTTTAGCTACTACTCTTCATAGATCCAGGGATATGAAGGACTTGTTCGTTGATTTGGCTCAAATTTCAGAATATTTCAAACAAGGAAATTGGACCAACCATGATTTTGAACAGTTCCTTTTAGCTTATGGTCACTGTGCAAATGAAGTTGAACCTTTAAGGTATTCACTTATTTCAAAACTGTTCAATTATATCAGTAAAACAGATTCTTTATTTTTGATGTGAACATGGAAAAATAAAAGGCTCTAGTTTTTAACATTAATAATTAATTTCAGATATCTTTTTTCAGGAGTAATTCGGCATTGAAATTTAGCTGGGAAAAGTTTATGAAAGTTATTACAAAGTGTTTATTAGTAATATATAATTAAAACGTTTTGAAATGTCTTCATATTAGAATGTAAATAAAAATAGTGTAGCATATGATTTTCTAAACCCTTAATATTTTTTTGAATAATAAATGTTGAAGTAAAATGAACTTATTCGTTGGCCTGTCACAAAAATTGGAATCATAAAATAAATTTTTTTTTGAATATTTTTAAGTCAATTTCAACATCATTCACATGGTATTCATTGTGTACCTGGCAATGTCTACTTATTAGGTAACTACTGTGTAACAGCATAACTCTTTTATCTACTTTTTTGGGGCACTCACCTTCCACAATCTCGAAAAATATAAAAATTGTAATAGAGAACTTTAGCACTAACTTATTTGGGTGAACTACACCTGTATCTAAGGTGAAAATGTCCAAAAAAAATGACTAGTTCAGTTCTGCTACATTATACCAGCATTTCGCCAAAATTGGATGAAAATTATTGTTATATTAGAATATGAAACAAATTTAATGTTTTATCAAAAGTTTTGGAAGAAAACTTGAAATCAAAGTGAAACGAACTGATTATATTGAATTGAAATTAAACAAGAAAACAAATGGTACACAAAAATGGGAGTTATATAGCTTACACTATATAGACATCTAAGCTTTCCATAACAATTAACAATTGATATTTGCAGTATAATAAACAGCACCACATTTTCTATAAGAAAAAATTATCAATTTGTTGACTATATAGTCTACTAGGGTTATATGTCGTATTCACACTAGCTAATCCTATTGTAGATTACTTTTTTTTTTTGTAAATTTTACCAGTTTTCAATTTAGGCCTCCGTGCAATTTTATAAAGTCGCCGGATCAGAAGATATTTGTCCAGTAATATTGTAAATAAGACCAGAGTTTTTACTTGAAATTGTTTGTAATACTCAGAGTGTTTGGGGACAGTTTAGGGCCACCTTCAGTCTAAAACCTGAGAAAATCGAACAGAACTTGCCAAAGGCCCGAAGACCAATCGGTATCATGTCACTTGCATATCATATACATTAAAAAAACTATTTGACAGGCATATTATAGACATAGCCCTAGCTACCAGACCACTGCATCTAGACTGATATAATAACGAAGACGCATCTGGTAATACGTACCTGAACAATGTTTTCGAGAGGAACAGATCTTGAAGTTGTCCAAACAAGATCATAGTTATGTGAATGTGGTTTTCTCTGAGCAAGCCAGGTGGACTTGTAGGTGATACCGATATTCAAATAATTTCGCGAAAGTTTTTCATAAATCGACCAATACGACATGGAGAGATGAACTCCTCAATGTGACCGATGTACTGCCGGATTTACTCTGCTATTTCAACACAATTCAAAACTAGTACACTTTTATAACTCGTCGCTATTGTAATATTCGGATCTCATAAATATGATGTAACTCGGATTAGTTCGGAAAAATAAAACAAGTTGATTTCTTTACAAATTATATTGCGAACTGCCTGGAATGTATATAAAAAAATATATACAGAAAATGGTAGTAAAACATTCCCATAAAAACGATAAAATCACGGAAACCAGCAATTGGATGCATAAATACAGGCTTTAACTATAATCAATATCTCAGACAAACAAATTCGTGAGCTTACATAAGTTTTAGAAACAAATGCGAAATCACAATCAACAGAAATTATATTTGTAGAAATTCATATTGAATATAGAATAAAGAAAATAAATTTTGTCTAATCTTTATTAACTTTCAAGTAACTTGAGTTACTCCAATATATAATAAAGAAAGTAACTTTTGTCCTATTTATTTTGTCTTGAAAATGGTCTAATAAATCGAAACCGGTCGTAAAAAATAATAAACTTAATAGAAATTAGACAGAAGTTATTTTCGAAAGTGAAAACTATCGAGGAGAGATACATATGTATAAGAAAATGAATAGTTCCAAATAAATTGCTCTGTGAGGAATCTTGCATAAATGTCTGTCGAATGTAATTCAATATCCAGCGTGATTTCAGCCGAGGAAGTAGTTGTTTTTCGACAGACGTTTACCACACCCTACTGTGTAGGTAGTTGGGACAGAAATAAGTTATTTTCTTTAATCTATAGGTATCCAAGAAATGTTTACTCAAGTATTTTGTCATATATTTCGTCTATTATGACTGCCTAAATAATGATGCTTCGATTATATTAGTATATTTTGGAGGTGAATACACGTTACCGGAAATATTGACACTTTCTATTATTCAAATCTTGGTTTCCCAACCAAACCTTATATGACATGGCAATGTGGAAATTTTGCAGATTTCCTTACATTCAATGGAACAAGAAGCGCGAATTGGCTTTCCAATTGAATAGAAGTAAAAGCTTAAAACATATTAGGCCCATGACGTCAAGGGCTTATAATTTAAGAATTTCAAAAATTATATCTATATATATAAGACATATAGAAATATAGACATATAGACAATGATAAGAAAAAAAAGTTTATGTATGAATTTACGTTTTCTTTGTAATCAGTTGAAAAAATACTCGTAGAAGAAGCCCTTGGGATGCAATTCTTGAACATGCGGAAGTCATCCGTGCACTACCCCGAGTCGTATAAAAAATCCGTATAAGACTCTGTATAAATTTCGGAAATAATTGAAAAAATTCAAGATGGATCTCAGATGTCGGTTTATTTCCAGTTTGTAATTTGGATTGATTACATTAGGTGATTCTTTAATTTTTTAATTTTGAAATTACAGAATACCTAACGGGCCAGTGCCTAATTAACAAAAAGTATGTTTAAATATATTTGAAAACAATCAGGAGTTTGGTAGAAATTGTTATATATTGTTAATGTCACCACCTTTTTTTAAAAAACATCTATTTTTCCATTAACCAACTGTCGCATCCCTACCAACGACAACCCTCAGAAGTCCAGACTTGTGCGAGCTAAAGACTAACGAGGTCTTACCTTTTAACGTGTGATTCCTAACACGGGTTGAACGATAGCAAGTGAAAATCGATCGTTCAGCCTGGGGTTTGAACCAACGACCAACACGGCGGTCGATATGAGTGAGTGAACAAAGCATCCATGTCGAACCGCCCGGTTACCGACCGACATTGTTGAAATCTTGTTTGCTTTCATAACTTATATGGAATTTGTTTAGAAGGTTATCTGTTGTTTCTTTCATAAGCCGGGACACAAACCTTCACTCCCAAAACTGACAAGATTCCATTTATAAGAACATGAATTCCCAATTAAGATTCCATCAAAACTATCAGTGTCAGAGGATATTACCACCGTATAGAAGTGTTTACTTCTATGACTTTCAATATATTCATATTTCATACCCAGATTGTTTTATTTTCTAAACCAATCATATGGAAATAAGAAGAAAATTCAAATTTTCTGCTATTAAAATTGAGAACTTCATCTCAAAAGCACGTTTCTCAAAATGATTGCGAAAAATGTGGAAATTTTTGAACTGAAGTAGGAATTTTTCCAAACTGCGAGTGAGGAATTATCAAAATTTTATGTGGTACTCCTGCCAGTAATTGTAAATATGACGTCATTCAAAATGGCTAATTCGTGAGGTGCGAAGAACGGGGTGATGGCATTTTTTTCTAGTTTTTTAAAATTTGTTTCTCAGGAATCCTTTTAAAACAGTTCAAAATATATTTGGTTATCAGGTGGGTGTATTTTTTTTTCTATTAGTAGATGAAAATATTTTCATTCTATTATCTGTCAAAAAATAATTTCTATTTTTATAGTTCAAAAAGTAAAATATTTTTATAATCTGTATATTATTGTTAATTGACATTATTGCTTGATTATTTGATTTTTGAATCAAACAATTGAAATAAAAAAAAATGAATTAGTCATGCTGAAGTGCCATCTAAAAATAACTAATCTTTTTATTCCTATCTTTACACATTCAGTACGCGACATATTTCAGAAAATGAGCTATTTTTAATCACAAATAGAATTAGTTGATCAGTCTTTTTTTATTCGATTGAATGTTTTAGTGAAATGCTGATAAAGAACATAAGTAGTCAAATTCAGTGATCATCCTTAGAAAAAAATGCCTGTCCTTAGCCCACACCGCAGTTCTGCTTCAGGACTCAGTGGCTCTTATAGATCAACATTTAGTTCTCCACCATTAGATCGACAATATTACAGTCCACCTTCATACAATCCAAGAATTACCAGCTTTAGTGAAAGATTCACTTCAAGGTCCTATACTGATTCAGATGGACGTAGAGTATTTTCCAGGTCAGAAGATTAAAAAGTTAATGATTTTTTCCTTCAGACTTCTGTTTGCAGATCGGGCTCAGTAATAGAGGATGGAGTAACAACTTCAAGATTTAGAGAAGAGTCTAGAGAGCCTAGCCTACGACGCGACTCTATTTCCAGAGATTCAGGCATAAGCTCCATTAGAGAAAATTCTGTTCTAGAATACCCAAGAAGAGAAAGTTCTCTTACGAGGAGTGATCGACTGTCAACTGTTAATGTAATAGATTCGGTTGCAGAACTAAGGAACAAATATTCACCATCCAATTATGTGCCTAAGTGCTACAGAAAAAATGAGAATATTTCTAGATCCAAATCCATTAACGATATAGGTAAGCACTATATTCTTTTTGGCTTGAATTGTTTTCCATTTGCTTCTTGCTGTTTTAAAATGATAAAGATTTGTCTTTTGATCAGAGTTCATGTTTAATAACATTCTTTGATAGTATTATGTTAAAAAAAAGGATACAATCAAGTTTGTCCACTAAATATGTTCGATTATTTTTGTACATTTGCCAACGTCCACAACAGTTCAAAATACAAACATTTTTTGCTAATTACTTTTTATATGAACAAATCCCTTTAATATGTTCCCTTGAAGTCATAAGAATAAAATAATTCAGACCTTAAGTTTTATAACAGACCATGATACGTCTAAATATATTCTGGAATTTGTAATTATTTAGTTACAGAGGCTCACACTTTTTTCCACAATAATATTCTTTGAACCTCTATGTTTTTGTCCATTGATCACTTATCTGAAGTCAAAATGTGGTGATCTGGTTTACTTTCGAAGATATGGTTGTATAAAATTTGAAATTTGAAAAAAAACTTTTGGAAAATCACTCCTGAAATAAAAACATGTGAAATAGAAACTTCTCACCATCATATACTGCGGATCTTTACTCTGTTGCTCCAACTAATGGAATGAGGTTCTAAGTGATATTTTTCATTTAACTGGAGTTTTTACCCATAATTATATAGTTTTCACACTGAAAATTTTATTTAAAACGTATTTTGCTATAAGGTAGTTTTCATCAGTTGGATTGTGATTGAACATTTCAAATTTATTTATTTATTCAACATGAAAATCCAATTCATAACATAAGGAAAACGGCAATATAAATATAAAACATGAATCAACCTTAGATAATTTGATACAGAAATTCAAAGCTAGTAGATAAATTAAGTTCTAGTCAGATCTTGCTAGATCAGTATAAAAACTGAAAAACCAACATCATCCATAAGTCTCCTGATCTTATATGTCTTCATAATAATTAGATCAGTCTTCTGAAATAATTTGTTGCACTTTATAAATGCAAATGATTTGTTGAGTAAAAAGAGATTCAAAATATCTTGGCACTGCGAGTATTCCGAGCAGGAGTTTCCAGAGTAACACTTTTAATTAGATCCGAACAGTAAATATCACCAGACAATATTTTATGTATGAGTATTATGTCAAGGCATTCCTTCTATGTGATAGTGATTATATATTGAGTTTTATTTCAATATCTACTTAGTGCTAGTCATTCGTAGTCAAACCCAATTTGAAAGCAGGGCATCTTGAAAACTTCTCTTGAACACATTCAATCTTTGGAATGTAGCAATTTCAATGTGGAGAATTACACAAAATATTCAAAAAATTGTTCAATAATTTGTTTAAGAAATATTTTTCAGGTTACGCTTTGTTCGTTGTTCTATGATCGCGGAACTCTGTTTACGGGAATGAATAAATATGTATGTTTTTGTATGCGCAGATTTCAATATGTCATAACTGAACACACATGTTTATTTATTCTCGTGAATAGATACAACTTATTAATTCAGCATTCTTTCATATTATGAAAGGTATGTTTTGAATAGCAATAAAGATGGTAGCATTTCTTATTTTTTCAGCAACCATATAAATTTGACAACAGTGCATTCATTTTTGTTTAATTTTTCAACACTGCCAACAGAACCAAAGAATTACGAAGAAGTTTGTTGGAAAATATTTAATTACCAAAAAAAATGAAGTGAATGAAAATACATGTTTCCAATAATTTTTTAGAAATGTAGATCAGTCTTCTGAAATAATTTGTTGCACTTTATAAATGCAAATGATTTGTTGAGTAAAAAGAGATTCAAAATATCTTGGCACTGCGAGTATTTTAAATCATTATGTTTGATTATTTTCAGGCTTGCCTCCAATAGAGGCTAAAGCTAGTAAGAAAAAGGTAAACGAACGTGTTGATGCTATTTATACTAACAGTTTGTCATTCTCTAACAATACTAACGCCAACAATTTGTCTGATGAAGACGATAATGGAAATCGAGCATCAGTTGCTGACTTATGTAAAAAATTTGATGAGAAACCATTGAAAATCATGAAAAGTGGCACTTATGACCTGGCTAACAAGACAACAGATATCAAATCTAGACCATCTGATCCGACCAATGTTAAACTTACTAATGGTAAAAGTAAAGTTAATGGTGTGAAAAAATCCACTAATGGTGTGTCAAACAGTAGAAAAAATGATGGCATGACATCTGGCAAATGTCAAAGTAACACTGATGTTTTACAGACAAATTCTAAATTAGAAGTGAATGAGGAACCAAATTTTGAAAATGGGACAGAAATCAATAGGGAAAAGGTGAACACTGATGAGGTAGACAGCATATCCACTAGAAGCAACTCAAGAGTCAATAACTTTGCTTCATATATTCCCACAAAAGATTACCAAAAAGGGGATGAAAGTAAATCAGACTCAAGTTCCAAAAATGATATGGATAATAAGGATAGTTATATTGGAAAAATTTTACAACAAAATGTGAGTACCTGCTCGCTTGTGATATTTCCCATTACATTATTTACTTTTCTTGCCCTTGCCCTATTAAAGATTAGCGGGCTTTTCTAAGTCAATATAATTACAATAAAGTACATAATTTATTAAAACACCTAAATTAAATAATATTTAACATTATTTCAAATGTATTCTGTCTCATCTTTAATTTCAATATAACATGAGTATTGAATATAAGATCACCTGTGCCCTAAAAAATAAATAATCATTTGTCACATCAACGTCAAAATTTTTAAAATATGTCAAGTAGTGTCCACAAGTCAGGGCTTCGGAGCCAGTTAGCAAGAAAATACACTTTGGTATGAATTGAAGAACTCCTTATTATAATATAATACACCATTTTAAGTTAGAATATATTCATTATGAAACTTCAAATATATCCATCCTTTTTTATTTGGCAAGGCTCATTTTTGTTTGCATAGGTTTTATTTTTAGTTCTTACAACATGGCTGAATATTTCAAGTAGAATATTACAAGTAATTCTAATTCCTCAAAAAATAGTGGCTCACTGTGCTAATTATTATTGATTTGTGACGGATATTCTGAGCTACCTCAATTTAACTTTATCAGTTATTCAAGGAACTTAATTCATACTTGAGATAAAGCTAAGTAATATAAGTGTAACTGATAAGGTTTATCTTTTTTTTTAGATTTTGCAATGATTTTCTCTTAATGGACCATAAACATAAAGTTATCATATTTTGCTATAATGTTATGTTTCTTGTATAAAAGATGTGCTAAAAAGGTAGTTTACAGGTATCTAAGTTTCATTTGAATAATTCAAATTGAAGGACTAATGTTTAGTGAATATTTAATTTTGATAATATGGAGTGTATTGTTAGTAACTGTTTCGTTTGGTTTTATTATTGGAGTTGTGGATAGTTTTCAGATGCAAAATGGCTTTCATTTGAAAGGTGGTAGCAGTTCATTTCATTGTTTATACATGATGGTACGTTTAGAATTTTCTTAGAAAGCTTGACTTTATTGATAATTTTATAAGGTGAAGTTTGAAAACAGAACAGGACGAGTTTGTTGAAAATAGTTGGTCTGAAACTTAAACTCTTATAAATTATTGTCATTCAGTTTTCAAGAATGAAATCTATACAAACTACGTAAGTTCACTTCAACTCTTTTATGTCATAAATTGAGAAAATTAAATATGATTTTTGAGTAATCCTTTCTGAATGCTACATACTAAGCACACAGGCATATTGGGCTGATTTCTAAAATCATTCTTCTAACATGGCAAAATGTTACTCATTCATCTGCTGTTGTTTTTTTTTTCTTGGGTGTCAATGGCCTATTCGGTTTGGTCACTAGCCAAATTGATAACTCCCCGAGACACCTAAGGACCATCAAGGGTATTAGCAGTCCCTCAGCCATGTGAAGTTGTTGAATCGTCTCAGCTTCGACTAGATAAATTCTCTCGAGAAAAATATCTGTTTGAGGTTGGGATCGCACTCATGGTCTTTCGATTGTGAGTCGAGCGCACTACCACTATGCCAATTCCCGCCCCGCTGTTTTTCTTACGCTCTTATAATTATCGTAGGTTTTGGAAATCTCTAAAATTCTAGATGCCTTAAGAGTAGCACTATAATTAATATTCCTGAAGTGAATAACACAATCGATGCAAATGAATTTCGACCTAAAAATACTCTCTCTCCGATTAAAAAAGTGTTAGAATGAATTTCTGGATGATGTAGAAAAATATAATTAATAGTCACTCAACCTTTAGGAAAAACATTCTTGTAAACTACGATACAGCTATCCTTATGTAAGTTCAAAAAGAAGACAGATAACAGCAAATATGTGATTGTTGTGTTTCTTGAACTTAACCAAATTGGAAGGCTATGGCATCAGTGTTAATGTTCTAAATTGGTTTACAAACTGTTTATTCAATTGAAAATAGAAAGTTGAAATCAACAATTTCCTCTCATCTGCAATTGATGTAGATATTGGTATGCCATAAGGTAGTTAGTTACCTCATGCCACCTATCGAGGGATGAGAATCATCCTGAGAACTAGCCGTGTAACTCCAATATTATATATGCCGAGTATATTACAATGGTTCTCAGTATCTCAACGAATATTCCATATGACTATGGTTTTTATTTATAAGATGGAAAATAATCTAGGTCCAGTATATTTTAATGAATACATTGTATTGACTTCTGATGTGCACAATTATCCTATTATGAATAATGACAGTTCATACCTTGCTAAAATTAATTAACACAATACTATGAAATCATTGTTTTTTTTAAGAGTTTCCACAAGCTACCAAATGAGAACTAAATCCAGAAAATCACACATAGACTTGAAAAAAAATATGGTTTTGCTTTGGACACTGAATGAAATCGGCTACCAAACTATTTATTGTACATACATATTCACATTTTCATTATGTGTAATTTAATTTCTATGTTAGGTCTATTGTTTTATAAACACACGAAAAATGTTTCTGTTCTTTTACTAATTGAATCGAATAATTTAAATTGTCTAGACAAATGCGATATCTTTGACAAAATTCCGTCGTATATTATAATTACTACTTGAAAGTTTTCAAAATACTACTTGTTATGAATAAAGTTGTTGATTAAAAATATATAGCATGTAAATATGGTGACCTTCTAATCATTATATTCATGATATTCATTGATTATTCAAGTAAAGTTCGAAAATGATTCTACAATTTGTTGAATTATTATGGTCAATGCTTTTGATATAACAATATTATTATTATTATTGAAAACATTTATATTTCCGTAGGTAGGTAGATAGATTTATTAAAGCTTTCAATTTAAACAAATGATAAAACTCAAGTCATAAAAATGATTACATTAACAACACAAATGTCACTTAATATTAATATAAATAAAAGCAGGTGGTATAGGTAAATACAATAAGTATATGAAAATGACAGGAACAAATAAGTAAATATCACAGATAAAGATCGATGATTAGAATGTAATATGTAATATTGAAGTTACTAGGAAGCTTAAATTTGATACAGACTGAAAATGGTTATTTGTCCATGAATTCTTGTAATGAATATGGCTGCTCAATGTCACACAACAGATCGAAAACACGTTTTTTTAAAATTTGTCTTGTTCGATCTTCTTTGATAATCAAGGGTAAATGGTTGTAGAATTTAATTGATGCGTAATGCGGCCCATGCTCTTTGTTTTTAAATCTATGTTTAGGAACAATATAATTTGATTTCTGTCGTGTGGAATACTCTTCTCTATGTTTGTCATCTTCAAAATTCGATTTGTTCTCGTTTACAAAAAATACACAAACATAAATATATATAGCATATACAGTAAGCATTTTGTTACCCTTGAAGGTACCACGACAAGTATCTGTGTAATTCATATTGAACATTGTTTTCAATATACGTTTCTTTCTGCATTATGAAAATATGTTTCAGTTGAAAGGCTGCTACTACTCCTATCACTAATTTTAAACTGTCACTCTAGTCGGAAATTTCATGGCTTGAAGAGTAAAAACTTTAATAATTTGTTAATAAATATTTGAAACTTATTTTTCTTTTCTCTGCTCCTTTCATCAATTTTGTATATACCATGGTGAATATTACAAATAATTTATTTGAGAATCAAACTGATGTACTTTTCCAGGAATTATCAACTTCTCCAAAACTCACAAGATCTGCCATATCTCCATCCAATTCAGTTTCAAGCAGTTTAACATCAAATTCCTTGTCCCGCCGGTCCAGTGATAGGGAGAATCATCGCATCCGAGATTACTCAGAAGACAGCAGTGGCGAACGTAGCATCAACAGTTATAACCACAGACCAGTAATACATTCTTCAGTTAAAACCCTTGGGCTCAATGGGTTGAAAAATATTGGCAACACCTGTTTCATGAACAGTGTGATCCAATGTTTATCAAACACAAGATGGTTACTAAGATCAGTTTTCATACAGCATGCTCTCAGGGTATTATTGACCGAAATAGACTGACTCTATACTGGATGCATGGACACTCAAGGATCCCAGCCTGATGAGTGTGATATCTCAGAAACAATAAGACCTACAAGGTAGATTGAATTGGAGAAAAGATTCAAATTTTGGGGGCATGTATTGTAATACATGGCTCAATTTGTCATTACAGTGGCTACAAAAATATATGAAAAAAACCAGCGGTGCATATTGAAAAAAAAGAAGTTGATGAAATATGAAACAGTATTGAAAGCTAAAATCTTTCGAAAAAAATTTGTTAAAACCTGTTTTTCCGTTAACCAGCTGTCACCCCCCTACGAACGACAACTTTCAAAAGTCGAAACTTGTGCGAACTCAGGACTAACGAGGTCTCACCTTTCAACTTGTGATCGTTCGGTCTTGCGGTTTGAACCGCAAGTTTCTCTGCTTTTTTTATATTATTCAAAATGAAGGCGATATAGCCCAAAAACGAAATTTGACAATTCCAGTTTTTGGCGAATATATAAAAAAAAAACACTTATATTCTGATATTTAAGGTTGATTACATTGTAATTATGGGAGTATAACTGTTTCTTCTCAATATAATTTTTATTCCTCTATTTTGTAGCTTTTGTAGTTGTGCCTGTTTGTTCGAAGTGAAGGAGTATAAAATCGAAGCACAATAATCAAAGAGTGGTTGTATAATTGTTTCATAAATTATCTTTATTTGATGACAGATGCCTTGAAATTCTAGAGTAAAAATACAGTTTTTTTGAAATTTTCTTGTGTATGTATTGAAAATGTTCTTCATATGTGAGATTACAGTCCACTTGGGATTTTACAGTATTATTCACTTTCACATTTTATTCATTAATAGAAATATTTATATGGTTTATATCGATTTTGTGGAATTTTCTATTCAAGTGTTGTTGTATAGTGAATTCCTTTATCGATCTATGTGATGTTCCAGATGTGAAAGTAACTGAAATATTTGTTGCAGCGTTCGCGGAAGTCATCAAGGAATTGTGGTCAGAAGATTCATCTGATAGAGTGGTGAACACAGTCTCCCTGAAAAGTCAGATTCAAAGATTTGCCCCTCGTTTCATGGGTTACGCCCAGCAAGACGCCCAGGAGTTCCTTCGATATCTTCTGGAAGGTTTACACGAGGACGTTAATAGAATTACCGAAAAACCTAAACCAATCATAACGGAGATAGATGAAAAATTGAGGTGAGTTTGAATAAAATAAAACTTTTGCATATAGTCACTACATAGGATTTATAAAAGTGTAACTATATCATATCAATGATTTATTTTTAAGTCAACTCAAAATAATTTGTTTTCTTTCCAAAGTAGGTTTGCGGATTCATGTTTTACTCTTTATTTTATTTAATATTTTTCAAATGAAATTATTTGCACTTGGTATTTTCACCACCTGATTAATTTCTCTACTCTTCAAATCTATTGATAATTCAGAACTGTTAGATGTTTGCAAGGACCATCTGCTGATTAAATTGCAGCAGCCTGAATTTTTTACTACACCCTTATAGTAGGGAACACCTCTTGAAAGGTTCCAGATGATTCTAATGAAGCTTTCTTTCAATGTAGAGATGTCAAAAATTTGTTTTTCTCAATATCTCTGGAACTATCGACATTATAATAAAATAAGTTTTTACTGTTTTATTCATTATAAAATTCTCTACTGAAAAGGTATGTTTTCGAAATTCCCAATTCAAATTTTTATATTCATATGTTATATAAATATTGAAATATTTTGAGAACCGTCTTAGCTACTAGAAAATGTCTTTATTGTTCTTACAAAAAAATCGGAAGCTTTTCGTTGTCATGTAACAGAATCAATCCACCTCCAACTAGTTAAATTCTTGTGATATATAAACTAGCAGATAACTGATTATAACTGATGACCTATAGGTCACAAAATCGACTTTTAAAATGTTCTATCATCATACTGTGATCTTACCCAATAAATACTTTTACGCTGAAGACACTACATTATTTCTAAGGCTTGAAGAACATCAACATAGAGATCGGAAACTAAAGTAGTAAACTAGTTTACATCAAATGATTCAGTTACTGGTGAAACAAAAAACCTGTTGAGTGATATTCACTTTGAGAAATTCTGTTTGATAGTTATCTGTAGAAACTGGTACTCCTTGACCCTTATTTAAACTGGGATACTATCAATTCCTTATGTAGAAAATTAGGAGTAGTATCTTTGTTTTTTGGAATCCATCTGGTATAGTTTCTGTAAATCCCAAAATCTTGACATTGTCTCTTAGAATCATTACCATATTTCAAAATATACAGCTTGTGAATCAACCCACAACCACAAGACAAGACAATAACCCAGAATAGCCACAAATACTTGAGTGTGAAGATGTTCAAATTAAATCAAATAAAAATATACTTTATTGTCAAATAAGTATAGTTTTGTTGACAAAGTAAAAGACACATAGTGTAGAAATAAAATATAGGCAGAAGTACACAGCAATAAATTGAATTTTCCAATTCCTTATCTCTTAGCGACAACGAAAAAGCACAAGAGTCCTGGCTGAGATATTTGAGGATGGATAACTCTAAGATCGTAGACAACTTTGTTGGTCAATTAAAATCCACGTTGAGGTGCACACACTGTGGACACTCATCAGTAACGTTTGATCCTTTCTGGGATCTATCTCTTCCCATACCACAGAGAACTGGCCAACTGAGATTGTCGCAATGCTTAGATTCCTTCACAAGAGAGGAAACTCTGGATGGAGATGAAAAACCGGTAAATCAAAGAAGATGGTATAATATATTCGAAAATATTTCAAATATTATTTTTTCAGACGTGTTCCAGGTGCAAGGAGAGGAGAAAATGCACAAAGTCCCTATCAATTCATAAGTTTCCCCGTATTTTAGTCATTCGTATCCTTTTTGAAAACAAATATTTTTGATATTGGTAAATGATAATTTTTGGACCTTGTGAATGTAAATTCAAGTGAATAATGAATATAAATCAGGAGAAGAGTCAGTTGAAAAGAAAATAGAATGAAAGGGGAATTTTTTAATTTATATTCACAGGTACTTTATGAAAATCCATTAGACGTTCTGATAGCAGTACCTGTGAGAAAGTGGCGATTTACGATGGAGTTATACATTGCCATAGATTATATTCATTCTGAAAAATAGTCTCAAAAAGTGTACTTATTCTACAAGGACACATTTTCCCAATTATTGATGTTCTTTAAAAGTGTATCCCGAAGTATATTGAGTTGAATCTTGAACAGCTCTCATTTTTCTTGCCCATGTAACCACTGGAATAAAATGTCCTCTGTAGCTTTCCTGGGTTCCAATTCGATGATAGGTTCTGGTCACATCTAGTTCAATATTTGAAACTATGCTAAGTTTGTTGTGTGCTGGGGCAGCTGTCTTCAAAAAAAACACCCCAATTCTTTCTTTCTCATGGTCATGGAGCATGCAGAGAAAGAGATCTGAATTCTTGATTACTACAGATACTTTAATGTTGGTAGATTCCCATTCATCCTTCCCCTAATAGGGAATGTTCCTCCTGATGAAAATCAAGTAGTTTTCATAAAAGAGCTCTAAAACAACGCATTTCAAACTCATCATTCCAACCTTTTTCTTTAAAAAATTATTTAAATACTTGAAAAAGAGGAATGAAATAATGCATTTCAACATTTAAAGGGATTCGTTTGTATTTCACCATTTGGCAACATCGGTTATAGCTATTAAAGGACAATGAATCTGTTACCTGTATGAGACAAACAAAGATGACATATTTCAGAGGCGTGCTGTTCTGTTTCCTTATGTTCCGAGTTCCGAGACATTCTGTGACATGAAATTTTGTGCACCTAACCTATCTTCCTCTATATAAATAAATAACAAAACAACTGTTGTTTATGTGGCTTGTGGAGGTGGTATTGAACTATAATTTATAGTTTGCCTCAATTGTTGATTTATAAAGATAATTTTCCTTTTTTAAAGTAGAATATCTAGGTACGTATAAATTATTTCAACTTGATATAGGCGCTGTTGCCAATATGTGAATTAGAAACAAAACAATTTAAAAATTAAAACCCAACATTTGAAACATCAATTTGAATACTTTTCAAAGTGAATTTGAAAAACTCGTGAATTAAACTCAACTTTATTTTGTTAAAACTTGCATTTGCTGTAATAACCCAAATCGAGGAACATTCCCCATTGCTTGCAGGAAAAAGTTGTCTCTGTAGCTTTCTCGAGTTCCAACTTGATGATAGAGATAGACACTAAGGCAGCTACTTTGAATAGAAATACCCCAAATTCCTTCTTCCTCATAATCGAGGAGCTAGCAAAGAAAGAGATCCAAATTTTTTATGGCTAGGTGCAACAGTGTCTTTAATATTGTAAGGGACTGTCATTTATCCAGTCCCTGTACTAGTAGGAAGAAAGTGGTCTCTATAGCTTTCTTGAGTTCTAACTCGATAATAGAGTTCTGGTCTCACGTTTAAAACCATGTGAAGTTCATTGAGTATTAGGGCAATTTCTTTGAAAATAAAAGCCCCAGTTCCTGCTCGCTTATGGTGCTGATCATCTACAGAAAGAGATCCGAATTGTAGATGACTTCAGGCCCTATCCACAAGTGGACACAAGTATGAGTGATGAATGACAATTTAGAATGCAAATGTCTATGGGTATTCACTTTGAATTGGTAAGCTTCTCCTGGGTTCATTTCACTATCAAAAAAAGGAGAGTATGATCAGGACACAAATATTTTTGTAGCAATTCCAAGTGTTCAAATGACCAGATCTATCGGAGTTTGCTCTGGTACTTACTTTTGCTGAGGTTACCTCTTGTGAGCAAAACTATGTAGTTGTATTAATGTAATATCCTTAACAAAAAAGTCAGATTTGAAAAGATTCTCTCCAACGGAAAGATTCAGAGGCAAATTAAATGTTGCCATTGACTTTCCTCTAGAAGGATTAGATATGAGCAACTATGCAGCAGATAATGTGGCTCCTTTTCGATATAATCTATATGCACTTTCGAATCATAGTGGAACTACTTACAGTGGGCATTACACAGCATACTGCAGACACCCCTACACTGGCACGTGGCATGAATACAACGATTCACGGTGAGTCATGTATAAAGCACATACGATCGGATTTAAAACTAGAGTAACAGATAATATTAAAATAATAACTTACTATTTGTCAGACAATATTTTTTTGTGGAGGAGTTAATGTTACTTAATGGTTCTGCTCAAATTTACTAAAGGACAAAAAAGGTTACCCCAAAAAGTTACTGAGTAATTTAAACCTTTGAAGAGTCCAATTAGTCAGTAACATGTAATTAAAAAATTTTGCCTTAATGATTTTAACAATAACAATAAACTTTTTAATACTTAGCTTTTTTGATATGGCTGACGATTCAAAAAAAGGTCCTTTTTCTTTAAAGTTAATTGTGAATGTAATGATATTTCATAATCTTCATTTTTTTAAGTGCCTTGAGAGGTTAAAGACCACAATGAAATCACTTATGGTTCAAGAAATAGAAAACCAAAAACACTTATATGGATATGTTTCTTTGACATAATAGTTACTCAGTCTCCAACGGAATAGAGCACCGTTCTTCTGCATATTTCCTGACAGAGATTTGAATCAGGGCATTGATATAGAATGACAGGGTCATCCAACTTGACAACTTCCAAGTATTCTTTTTAGATTATTTGAAAACTAGTATTATGTATGCAACATGATTGATATGTAAAACTTAAAAATGGATTTACTGAAGAATCACTATCAAAACACATTGAAATATGATATCATTGGCACATTTTTGTTTCTATTTTTTTTTTCATTTGTTCTTTTCAGCATCAACAACTACTGTCATGTAACATAGCAGAATCAATCTATCGAAATTTCATGAGATAATTTTAAATAATTCATAATGTATGGTAATACATTTAAATAAAATTAGCATGTGAAAAATACCTACAACCTACCTATCCTGAGTTGACACCTTATAGAAATTGACATGCAACTGAACAACTGAAAAATCCCACAAGGAACTAGGGAAAGGAGGTCTATCATGGCAGAGACCCATATTACCGTGACAAGACTACTACGATGTGAGGACACCTGGTATCTTGAATGTTCCGTTTTTGACATAGAGTGGACTCGGAGTCTTTTCAGCAAGGATACATACAATACACCTTAGGATGATCCGTCATTCAGAAGGACTTACTTCCATCTGGCAGGGGTATTCTAATGCTTCCTGCTGCAGGAAGGCCACCAATCCAAGCTAAATGATTCTAATTTAAAAAACTGTTTTTGCTGTATCGCTCATTCTAGACTTAAATCCGATTGTTCAAAGTGGCCCGTTGAATATTATTAATTGAATATTTTTTCTTTGGTATCGGTCTTTTTGGATTTATTTGTTTCTCTTATTTCAGCGTGTCACCAATCTCACCAAAATCACTCGTGAGTGGAGAAGCTTATGTGCTCTTTTATGAACAGGACGGAACGAAGTCGCACCTTTGAAATGGTAGAGATTCCACTATTGCCAATTGGATTTTTTAATTTTCCAAATTCATATACACGCAGACACCTTATTATTTATGTAAATTTTATGTATTATCTTTTTATTAATATAATTCCTAACATTTGTTCAGTGACGTTAGTTATATTATACAGGACTCTTCTACAAGTCCTTGCCAGTTAACAGTCTTGTACAATTTTTGTTTTTTGTAATTTTTATTCAAATGTTTATTGTTGTTCATACAGTGTGTGATTTTATGAGGCGAAGAATAGGAATTGTACTTATATATATATTTTTTGTTCATATCATATCTAGTCCATGTTTTCATAGCGCAATATTTGCACAAGGCAAATAAAAAATCATATTAGTATTTGTCTTGTTCAGATGTGCAATTTTAAGATTGTTTAGAAAATGTTTAGAATTCATATAAATACACTTATTTATTACCAAACTGTTGATATTTTACAAAGAATATTGTTGTTTTGGATTTAGCGACAAATATTAAATGCTCATTTAAAAAAAAAGGCATCATTGTAAATAGGTATTTATTTATTTATTTATATATTTATTTTTTNTCTTTTGTGTAATAGGCAACATTTTTGAGATAAAGTGGAAGAGTAATTATCATACAAATTGAACTTCGCCTTTAGACTTCATATAACAGTCAAATTGTACCTGATAAATTTGCTTGAAAAATGTATTTGAAGAAAATAAAGACGACATTATTATTATATTCAACGCCTCAGTACGCACCAAAATATAGAATTGATAGCAATGGCTGACTTAGTATCGCTTAAAATATATGTTTCGGATTTAAAATATATGTGCGTATTCTATAGCGTGAGGTTGGTTTTTAACTCTTGAGGTTTTGAAACCGAATTTGACGTTATGTTACGTCAGTTGTCAGTTTCTGCTTTATTTTGATCGTTATAGTTTATGAAGTGCTGAAATTTTTTTATCAAATATGTTGAAGGATGTACTAAATAAAGCTGCACAAATCCAATTCTAATTGAGGTTAGAGAAGATTGTGAAAAGTTTGTTTTGTTTTTATTATCGAATTTGACATTTGATACAAATTGAATCATTCCATTCTGGCGAATCTTATTATTAATGACGTCACTACGAATAGTTTTTGAATACACGCTCGAATTCGATTAAACGCCAGAAAACATCTCTGAGCTCCAACTATAATATCAACAGCAGTGGAAATGTTAAAATGTTTTATCAGTTCAATATTTTTTGTGTTAGATCTACGAGTTTTAATTTGAGAATTACTCCCCCGTTAGATCTTATATACCTGTCTCATCGAACCCAGACAATTAATAGTTGCAAAATACTGGTAATTGAAACCTTCTGACCTGCGATTCAGTTTCGAGCAAAGGCGTTGTATTGGAGCGTGTATTCAAAAACGATTGGTACTGACGTTATAATAATAAGATTTGCCAGAATGGAATTATTCAATTTGTGTCAGATGTCAAATTCAATAATAAAAACAAACTTTTCACAATCCTCTCTATCCTCAATTTGAATCGGATTTGGGCAAATAATGATTTCCCAGTTTTATTTTGTACAGCCTTACAACATATTTGATAAAAAGTTTTCAACACTTTGTGAACTATAACTGAAGAAGAAGGAAGAATCAAAATAAAGTAGAAACTGACAACTGACGTAACATAGTGTCAAATTCCGTTTCAAAACCATCTTCATGTTAGTTTTTAATCATCATAAATACGTTTCAAATTATAGTTGATGTGACATCATCGTTTCAACGCCAGAATGAATGTATTTGAATCACAGACGAATACGTTTTCAATACATGAGCGCCAGAAAACGCCTCAAGATTCGTACCTTTTGATAGTTATTACCGATAACTAAAACCTCAGCAATGACGGTTGCGAGTAGAACGAAATCAAATGCGGTACCAATTAGTATTAATAATAATAATAATTGCTCAGGGCACATGATACTTGGACCCAATGATCACTTACTCGAAGGTGTGGGGAGTGGTCATTGGTTGATAATGCTGGCGCGCCCTCCCGAATGTATCGGGGCTTCAGGGGATAGGGCCTGACCAGCGCACACTACGGTGAAAAAAAAATTTACTGCTTACTATATTTTGATTCTGCTATAAACTGGTAACGTAAAATTTAGATATGATAACGCGCTTTACTCTCAATCATTATTGGTTTTACTATAGATGGCAGTTATTACAGCGCCTGTAAATGAATTTATGCGCAACGTTGGTCAGGCCGTCACTGTCAACGCGAGCACTATAGGTCGATGATCACCATTTTTGGCCTGAATTGTCATTTCTGTAATTTGTCATAGGTGTTCGACGGTCATTATGTCTATTTGTCTGTTTTATCTGTTTTTATTCTGTTCATCTTCCATATTTTTGATATTTAGTGGAGGCGATGGCGAACAATTAACATGACAAAAACAAACAAACAAACAAAGCAGCCAACTCAGAAAAAGTACATATCCGTTATGGCCCGTTGTGTTGAAGAACTTGGAAAAATTTAAGGAATTTTGGTTGGTAATCCTAGTTAGTGATCGTCAGTTGTCAGTTGTTTCTTCTTCTCAGTCTAACGTTCACATAAAAGGTCTGTTTCAGGTTACATGTTACATGTATTGTGACTGTGACAGTCAGAACATATTCATTTGAAGCTATTCATTTTTCTACTGGGTGTTTGAAATAGTTGGGCGGCAAAACCAGAATCAATTTACTGCGACAGATACTTGTGGTGTCTATTCTTTGGCGTTCCGGCATCACTGGTACCGTGTTTTTGTAGACTGTGGCACTGCACTTACAATTTTTTTTTAAATTTTTCAATTCTGTCTTTACATAAGTCCAAAATCCTTGGCTTTGACAGCGATATTCGAATTTGAAATGGCTGTTCTAAACGCAAGTCGCGAAACTGACCACGAGAAAATGAACATTGTGAATGATGGAGATAAAAAAGTACACCTCATTGCACAGGAATTGAAATTAGCAAAAATTTTAGCTGGAAATGATTTGAAGGCGAGAGAAAAGGCCCTAAAAAGTCTCGGAAAATGGTTCGAAAATCGGTCGAAAACAATGCGTTAGTATAACCCTACTTTTAGTTTTCTAAATTCTTATTATTATTACAATTTCAGCATTTACAAATGAAGATTTGCAGAGAATTTGGAAGGGTTTGTTTTATTGTATGTGGATGTCGGATAAACCGTTAGTACAGGTAAATTAATTTTTGTCTCACATGAATACCTATGCTAAATTTTACATTCCTAACTTACAGGAAGATTGTGCTAACAAAATTGCAAAACTAGTTCATATGCCAACGCTGGATGCATCGTTACTATTTTTCAGAGCAGGAATGACAATATTAGCAAATGAATGGTTTGGAATAGATCAACTGCGCATGGATAAGTTTCTGATGGTAAGCTTGTGAAAAAATTACACGATTGATAATTAACTACTTCCCTCAAGTTTACTATTGCTCAATTGTAAGTGCATCTATTTGTTTACTTGCTCTATAGAGTTTTTGTTAATCTGAAATGATTTTTAATAAATCCATGGTATTCTCATTCGCCTAGCAAGACAGATAGAAATACCATGGTGAAATCACGTAGACCATTTTCTAGTGAAATATTTTGGCTTAAATCACTTGATCTATGATACTTGCAATTTTTCGTAAAATAAACACATTCAGCATACTTTGACAGTCTGTCTACAGAGGCACCAAGTGTACACTGATGTTTACATATTAACAAGTATCAAGAATATCGTTTCCAAAGTTGTATAATAATATTTTATCAAAACTGTTATAACATAACCAGACAAATATTCACCTTCTACTTTTCATGTTCTATAAAAATTTATATTTGTTATAGCTTGTAAGGAGACTTTTGAGAGAAACTCTGATCACCTTAAGAAATCATAAGTTGAATAGCGAGAACATAAAAAAGTTCAATGAAGTCTTATCTGATACAATTCTGAGTCCAGATGCCATTCCACCTTTGGGATTATTTATGCATTATGTTGAAATTTTCTTGGAAGAACTTGCAAAGGTAAAGTCAGTGTGAATAAACCCTATTATCAAATATCTAATATATTTTCTAAACATTTCAGGTGACACAAGGAAAAATACAACCTGATAACACAGTTCAATTATTACAACCTTTTATTAAAATTATGGTTTGTTCTGATGACGGTAGGAAGAAAGGGCATATAAGGAAATTCATTTTTACATATCTTATTCGACAGTCAAATTTGGGTTTAGAATACCAAGCCAAGTATAATGCGTGGAAACAGGTATTATATTGTTAAATAATCTTCATATTCAGTAGTATTTAATATTCAATTTTCAGCAAGGGTTTCCTGGAAGTATAGATTCAATGCAGAAAATAAAACTAGGGAAAGACGAGAAAATGTTATCTGATGAAGAAGAGATTTCTTCTCATGAAAAACCATTGGATCCCAGGGCTGGGAGAGTAGATGTTGAAATCCCACAAATCAAATTCAGTGCTAAAGGAGTTGCCGCTGCCCTATTGGAATATAGGTTTCACAGAAAGTCCTCTCCAAAATCGAGAAAAATTGTCACATCTCTAGCTGAACAGTAAGTTGGAAATATTTACATAAAAAGATACTTTTCCACATGCATAAGTATCCAATACTTATAACAGAACTTTGACCTCCAAGAGAATCATAGTATTTACCGTTGATAATTTAAACAACTTTTTTCAGTGGTGTAAAAATTAGTCCACTTATCCGAAACACATTGCCCTGCATTGCTGAAGCACATAATCTGAATTATCTTGTAGATTTCTCCATAGACATTATAACATGTTTCAAATTCTATCTATAGATACTTTCACAGGATGTGTTCAAGTGACTTGGTACATTTGATTCCACCAAGAGCTGTACATAACTTGGTGCACCTCGAATTTCACTGTTTAAAAACTCTTTCATTTGGAGAACTGCCTCTATGTGGCATAAACGTCCTGAGAAGGTTTTTCCAAATGGATTTAATCTCCAGCGATTAAAATTCAATGTAAATCGCTACTTTCGCACAGGCACCGCTCTTAGAGCGCCTTGAAGATTTTTCTGTAGTGCTTGTGTTTTGCCCTTAAAAAACCTTACCCAAAGAATAACAAAAGCCTGTTTCATTCAAATTGTTTATTTTAAGGAAAGTTTCAAAAACAAGTATAAGGTTACATGATGTTAGTGTAAGTATAAATAATCTGTATATATTTTTCAAAAGTATTTTGTGTAAAAGTCATTCTTTCTAGGTGGTCCTTCCAAGTACCACTTCTCTCCTTGCAATTTTTTTTTAATTCGTATGTGCATATACCTATTCTCTTGTAGGTATGCATTCATTACCATTTAGGCTTGTAGTAAGTTTGACTTTTGGCAGAATCTTTCAGGATTAGCTCACCCTTCGAAGCTTGATACCAAACAGTTGTTGGACTACAGTAGGGATGAACTACGATGTCTAACAGGCCTTCTTACAGATCACTGTCTTTTGAATCTTTATATGCAGAGACTCGGACTGTCTGAAGACAGTGTGTGTTGCCTCTGTTTGGAGCACATACTTTGTGCCTGTCCCGCTGGGGACCGAATCAGTTTTTTAGAGTTCGGCAGAGCCGTACTCTTATCATCTGTCCTGAAAGACCACTCACCATACAAACTAATCGGCTTCATTAAAAAGCTGGGTTTATTTGGCCGAGTGTGAATAGGTGTGAGCCACAATAAACCCTTGCGGGTTGCGGTGGAGGGTCGATTAGACTCACTCACTTTGAACCTATCAAAGTTTGAATCGTTATGAACTCGATGCACAAATGGACATTTTTTATGTTGATTCAATGCCTTTATGCCGTGAGTATGAACATTTTTAAATTATCATTTTTGATGTGTCTTCCTTATACTTTGCTTTCGGGTTGTTATGGGTTACGAAAATGTTAATATGTTTTCTATACAACTTGGACCACACTTCAATAATTTCTTTGAAATGTAATTAGATCTATACCTTATATTTCCAGTGAGTTTTTCCTCGTCTAAAAAACTTTAGAAGCTCAAAAAACTTTCATGTCTGACAACTTCATAAGTAAAGTTCTCTTGGGAAAACGTGAAGTATGTTTTCAAAATTACTAATTTTGTAAATGTTATTCCTGAGTAAATAAATGGTTGTTTTTCACAATTTTTTTGGTATCAGTAATCTCAGTAATGTACTGTTACTTCACCAGGGAACTTTTTATCGATTGAATTACATGCCACTAAAAGTTAACCAATGTTATGAATATATTATTTGTAGGTTTACAAAGTTGGCAAATGGAGTTTATCCCTTGGGAGTTAAAAAAGTTAAAACTATAGAAGAAACAGATTTGAATCTTAATATCCGTAAAGCTGCAAATAATCTGATTAAATTTGAACAAAAACTCTTGGGAAAAAACAAAAAAAGGAAGATTGAAAAAGTTGATGAACAGGCTCAAATAGAAACAAAAAGAATGAAGATAACTGAAAAAGTGAGTGAGAACACTTTGGAAACCTCAGAAAATAGAAAAAAAACCAATTGCAAAGAGAGAGAACTTGAAATAATTGGTGAATCAACTAAGGAACGAAAAATTGGATCAAAGAAAGTAAATAATAAATTGCATAGATCTGATGGTGAAAGGAATGCCTGTTTCAATATTTCTGATAATAGAAAAAAGAAATCCAAATCCTGTAGGTCTTTGAAGAAATCTGAGAAGGAAACCCAAAATCTTGAAAATATTGAATGTATTTTTGAACGCAATTCAGGCGTATGGGTTGTTCACGTTGGTGAGGATAAGAATAAGGAAGCAGCAGCATCTCTTCAGTCAGGTAAGGCCTGTAGAAAATTGACTGTATTTTTCTGTTTGAGTTGAATCTAGTCTAAATCACTTATATATTTTGATATTTGAATCTATTTGTAGACTTTCCAAGTTCATCAGCAGAAGTTTTAGAAGGGCCAAGTATTTCTTCTGGGAGTACCATTTCATTTTCTATTTCGTCAGAATTACCAGAGTTAAAAACTTCTCCAGCGAAACGAAACACACATGAAAATAAGCCTGAAACTTATTCTACGAAAACAAGCGCAAACTCAAGTATAAACAGCATTTCACCTAGTGCAGAATGTGACTCTCCAAAATCTGGTTAGTTGAAATTATTTTCGGAAATATTTACCTGTTACCCAGAATGTATATTTAGTTAGGCGGTTTTATTATCTTGAATTTAAACTGTAACATGAATAAAGCCAATTTATTCAAATAGTGTGTCTTATTTGGAAACAAATTTTAGAAACAATATTGTTATATGCACTAGGCTAAAATATATCCAATTTAAATATTACTTGAGATGTAATCCAAGCCATTGTGAAATAAATTAATTTCTTTCCAAATAAGCTTTATGAATATTTTTTTCACATGGAAACAAAATATTAAAATTACTCAAATTCATTAGCTATTATCAAAGTTGAATATAGTCTAACATAATGTTGAAATAATTTCATGGTAGTATATTGCATTTGCCTCCTTAAAAAATTTTCATGCACTCAAAAACACTCCAACTGTGTGTTGTTACCCAGATGGCCTATCTGTTTAGTTAGACTCAAGAAAATATTGCCACATGAGAGTGATCAAACCGCATGTCTGAAAACTGTATCGAGGAGGGATACATACATAAATGTAGATATTCATTTCTCCCAACTACCTACACAATAGGTTATGGTAAATGCTTGTCGGAAAACAACTACTTCGGTTAATACCGCGCTGGATATTGAATTATATCCGACAAACAGCTCGGTATTAGCCGGGAAAGTAGTTGTTTTCTGGCTGGCATTTACCAGAACCTATGGTGTAGGTAGTTGGGAGATAAGAATATTTCGAGATTTTATTCGCTCTACGATAACATTGTATAGTGAAGCACGTGTCGCAGTTTTGATAACTTTCAAGTGGAAATCTCACATTGAAGTGTTTTTGGCTTTTCCACAAGTTTTAGTTTATGGCCAATTGGGGTTTCTCAAAGTATTGGTTCAATTTCAATATGCATTAGTGCAATAAATACATTAGGATGGTAACAGCCATTCATAACACATGTGACAATTTTTTGAATTGTAGTATTGTTTTTTGTTTTAGGATTGTCACCAGTTAAGCTGTTTGAATCACCTCCAAAGGAGAAGGAACTATTTCCAAAATCAGAATGGGACGAACCACTTCTAGAAGGAGAATATGAAATATGCATTTCATCCAAAAAACATATAGCAAAAATGAAAAAGCTAGGAAATAAACCCAATCAGAGCCTTTGTGAAGTAACTAATTCTGCAATGCAAAAAATCAAAGGAAAATCTCGATTAAGTCTAGATCCAAGTGTGGTTAAAAACCCATTTTCCACACCAATGACTACAAAAAGAGTAAAAATTAATACAAGACTAAATAGGTCACAGGATGTACATGAGCATCATGCCCAAATTTTGAGTTCTCCTGCTATTCCGTATGATGCACATAAAAAGCCATCAAAACCTTTGTTGAAGAGGAGTGCAACTTCAACACCCATCAATCCATTTCATAAAAAACAGTTGAGTATTTAGGTTTTCCAGTAGAAAACCTATTGTCAGTTCTCAATATTAGGTTGTTTATGATGGACATTTTAAATAGCATGGACTGTTATGTTATGGATGGTATCCATTTTGTATTTGTCAATTTTTAAGAACTGTTACTATTGTAGTTATTATACAATGTTTATAGGATTTTCCATTTACAATAAGAAATTTTGTAACTAATTTCTTTTGTCATGAAATTACTTTAATTTACTTTGTTATGTATTTATAAAATTGTTTGTATTTTATGGTCAACCATCAAATATAATTTTTTAATAAAGATGAAAAACAAAAATTATTTGATTAGTACAAGTCTCTCACAGTGATTCAACAAAATCAATTCAATTTATGATCATAATACATGGCAAATTCAAAATATAGTTCCGTGTTAGGAATCACACGTTAAAAGATAAGACCTCGTTAGTCCTTAGCTGGCACAAGTTTCGACCTATGAGGGTTGTCTTTCGTAGGGGTGCGATATTTGGTTAACGGAAAAAACATATTTTAAACACAACATAAAACCACACAAAAGCAAATTTGGAATTAATTTATATAATATACCTTACAATATAAAAAAAATTATACGAAACTCAAGACAAAAGAAAATATTCTGAAATAGATTGACAAGTCTGAACTGATCAAATAAATTTATTATTATTAATGTATAGAAAGAAATGAAAATTTCTATACTTTTATTTGACCACTTTTATAAAAGTGGTCAAAAACAAAAATTTTCATTTCTCTTTTCATTATGATTTCCTATCATGTAGTAACGGATACATCCATCAATTTATTAATGTAAAGATGACAGTTGATCTTGTGTTCTCCTTCCTGAGTACTGTGTAGCATATCTCTGATTTGTGTGCTTTCACTAACACCAATTTTGAATCATTTTTTATCAGTCCCAAATTCTAGTACAGCTATCAATACAGTGTTTATCGTTAGAGGACAAAAACCTCAGAACTTGTTGCATCTCAGTGACTTTTAAATCTTCCATTAAAATTTTTATAAATAATAGGCCACTACAGAGGAATGAATTCTTTTCAAAACAGAAACTCTCCACAGAAGTTAAACATATTTCTATTGGGCGGTCCTCACTAAAAGAATATCATATTATTCTTCTATATAAGTAGACCACATCAATAAAAAAAGTGTTTTCCAATAAAGTTACTGGAAACTATACATTTAAAAATCTTGAGAATAGATCATCACCTCAAATGATCAGTTCACATTAATAATGCATTTTTTGTTGAACTGTCCAAAAAGTGTTTTGTTTTTAGCTGTTAAATCTAAACTCTATAGTTACAATATAGTTAGATTACTTTGCCTGCTTCCATTTATGAATGAAATATTCCATAACGCACTGGTGCTATGCCTTAGGTGCTGAGAGTTTTCAAATCAGTTTTACAATCCTAGGAAATATTTTGTTTTTGTGATTCATGTAGAGATGTTTTCAAATCCTTCAAAATACCAACGCTGACATCTGTGTACATATATGAGATGGCATATGTTTTTGAAATTGAGATATGTTCAACAAAATAAGAACACAGCAGGCCTCTTTCATAAGGAATGGATGTTTCGTTATCTGTCATTTGATTTACATAAAAATAATTAAAACTTTTCATATGTATATTTATACTATATACTCTAGTTTGTCTCATAGCTGTAGTGCTCAAATGGATGATAAAAGTATTGATTGATGATGATGAAGACCTATACCCTATAAGATCAATGAATTCTATTGGAGCTTGCTTTTAGGCAAATGAGTCTTTCAATGTAAGTTCCTTATTCGTGTACGGTTTCCTGTGGCAGTTGATATCTGTTTCTGAGTTGGCTCTGGTACACTCGCTTCAACTATTGTTGTTCATAATGAATTTCTAGAGCTTCCATCATATCTTGATGATTCCTTTTGGTTTCTTTTCAAAACACTCTGCAGCATGTCTTGTACTAGATTTCAGTATTAGAACTGTCCTCTCCCGATCAGCACCTGACCTTGGTATCATACTGTTAACTGACAGTTCATCATAAGTTGGAGGTTTCTATAATATGATTGTAAATTAACTTTCTTGTTCATTACCACCAGTATATTTTTTGAATAATTCATTTGCAGAGCAATGATTCAATTGTATATTAAAATTATGGTACTTCTTTCTAGATAAAAAAGAAACAAATTAAATACACATTAATGATAAATATTTTCAACAGAAACAATAATCAACATATATTGTCAAACAAAATCTATAAATGACTACAAAAACCATATACCAACAGTTCCTTGAACAAAGATGTGTTAACACTGAGCATCAGGTTTTACATTTAGAGCATCAGGTTTTACATTTACTTAAAGAATATCTAACACCTTTCTAAAATTGGACACAAAAAACCTTTTTACATTATATTACATTCAGAATTACTTCCAGGATTATTTTCAGAATTGAGAGGATTTCCTTGAGGGTCAAAACCAAATGGTGTTTCTAAATCTCCCACTAGTTCTGATGGAGGTTGACCATAGTCTTGAAGCTGAAAATGTGATTGTAAATATTAAATTTTGATAATTTATGGAATTGCTCATTTACCTTTTGCATGAGCCCCAAAACTTTCATGAACCTTTCTTTTTTCACATCATTACTATCAGTTTCTTTTTCTTCATTCAGTTCAACAAGTACTTCTTCCATAAGTTTTTTTTGGTTTTCGTATCGTTCGACATCTTTTTTGTCTAATTTTTCTTTGTTGTTTTCAATGTATTCTGGCAATTTTTGAACAAAATCTTCCAAACTTGGTCCTAGTACTTCTTTAGATAACAATCCTTGCATCATTCCTAAAATATCAAATTTAGAAAATAGCTACTCAAATAAGTAACATGAAAGATGTAATTTTTTATAAGCTTCTATAACTTGCACTGTTTGTACTTTAGTTTGGGTCACAATCTTGCAACTGAATTTTGAAGATAGAATAAAGAAAATACCTTTTGTCTATATTCTACCAAGTTTATTATTTGTTACGAACGGTTTTGAAGCACTTATCATCAATGGATTGAGCTGAAATTTATTTGTTCAGTTTGGCATGGGCTAAGTGACGCCATTCTACATAATAATATGGCGGAATAGTTTTTTATGTACCCCATAAATGGGTATCAAATGAAAGGATGTGCTGAAAAGAGATTGAACAATAACGTGATGTCACTCTAAATCAAATGTAGGGGACCACTCAAAATCACTATGATATGGGTATGGAAGGAAAGGGTTTGCTGAAAAAAACACTGAAAGTAAAGTGAGTCACTTCAAGTCCAATATGGCGGACTCCTAAAGAGGTGAACTATGTTTTTATGGCGAGAAAAAAGATGGCCGCCATACCAATTTTAAAGAGTTATAGGTGAGCAAAGGTTAGGACTGAGGTGTAACTGAAAACAAAAATAAATGAATAGTAAAAAAGCATAAAGGACAAATTTTTTAAACTATATCAAACATCAATTTATTACATTACACAATTCATTTGATATAAAAGCTTGTAGACGAGATTTACAGGAATATAATACGTAACGTGATCTAGACATAAGTAATTCTAAGAAAAAATTGTTTTTATAAAAAAGGTATATCTCGAGAGAGACAGCGAGAGAATGGTGTTTATATCATATAAATTATGTAATGTAATAAATAGAAGAGTTTGATTCAATCAAGTTTATTTCCTTCTTTTCAAGACTGGTAAATGAAAGCTTGTACTTGAACATCTTTTCACTTTTCAAATATATCATCTCTGGAAACTATTGCAAATTTCCATGAAAAATAAAAGAACATTCAATATTTGCAAAATTTTTAGAAATCTTAGAATACAGGAAGACTACTACAACCTCATAAGGCAGATGAGGATATATGATCCCATCAAATATAATAATGAATATTTATTGAATGGTCTTCATTTGACATGGGGGGGTGCAACAATGATATTCTTGTACTAAACCATCATTACGAAAAAATGGTGTTACATTCAATTACTTTTAGGACCAATAAATAAATCTTAAAAGTTGTAACCTGTTTTCAATTTGATGGACATGCTTAACACGTTCACTGCATTGGTGATTTCTGAAGTTCTGCCAATTCTCATATTACCAGGTCTATATGTCCGGTACATAGGTTTCCATTGTGATGGTACCAGACATTTATGTCCGGTAAACACCCCCACATATAATGACCTTCAGTCACCACGTTTCTTGAATATATTCAAATCAAATGCCAATATCCGGTAACAAACATCTCATTCTATAGGCTATAGCCGTCGTACCAGATATCGATGTCTGGTAAAGCTTCAAATGGCAATAAAAGTATCGGGTAAAAAATATTTCTATTTTGACAAAAGATTGAAATACAGTGACATTCAGAATTACCTCAAGTATGCAAAAATAACGGTTTTTTATCGGTAAACTGCAAAATAACACACCGGCTGGATTGAAAAGAGTTCAAATGAAGAATTATGCAAACTCAAGTGCTACTAGTTATGTCTTCGGTTGAAAGAGTTGAGGCACAGGGCTGGTTTTTTTGCACAATCATCACAGTATGTGTTTACTCTAGTGACTTTTTTGTCAGTTTCTTTGCTTTTCATCGTTTCCCTCAATATTTTATAACATTCTACGCAGTTTCTTTGTCGTTTTTTTCCTGGGCCTTCTTCATTTTTGAGTGAGTGTCTCCTTTTTGGAAGAGTATCAGCCTCAGTTGACAGGGCGACTTCCTGATTCAATAATTGGAGGGCCAACTTTTCACGAAATGATAATAACGATACTTTTTTGTCCTGATTTATCTGATTATACACAATCCAAGCATTGACTACTTACTATCTACAGTATCCTCTTTGCCACAATACACTCTGATATTGTAAGTGTATCCCGAAACTGTACATATTTTATATAGTTTCACTCCATACTTGTGTCTTTTATTTTTTATATACTGTCGCATCCCAAGACGACCACGCCAAAGTACCATGCTTTCGTCGATCACAACATTTCTTCCTGAAGTCATTACTGTCCGAAATATCTCGTTGACCATATCCAAAATAGGTCTTATTCGGTACAACCTATCCCCACTTTCTAACAGACCATCATTGTTATCGAAATGTAAAAAGCGAAGAAGCAACAAAAATCTGTCTCTGGGCATTATGAGCGAAATGAACTGGTTATGGTATAATGGCTTTTTCGACCAGTACAAATTCATATTGGGGAGTTTGACTAAACCTATAGAGATGATTATACCAAAGAATTTTTGGATTTCATCTTCATTGGTAGGAACCCAAGTATTTTGTCTTGACTTTACCCTTTTGACATGAGAGTTCTCTTGTTGGGCATATCTATTGGTCTCTACAACTATCAACTCCAGGATATCATCAGTAATGAACGATCTAAACACATGTAATGGAGTCAAACTATTTTGATTTCTGATGTTTATTGTACAGTCAACGGCATGCTCAACAATGTCTATATTTTGAGCTGTCCTGAGTGAAGTCCATACATCTTCTAGCCCTAATGATGAATATTATAAATTAGAAACACTTATAATATGAACTAAATGTTGAACATACCGTCATCATCCCCATCCATTGAACCATCACTCTCATTGTCTTGTTGTTCCTCTGGTGATACTAATTCAATATCAGTATCAGAAAGGGTCTCACTAGGCTCATAATCTGGATCATCTTCTGAAGAATTTGCAAACGGATCAATTTCGGAATCTGTATCACTATGAATAACATCCTCGTAGTTGGAATTTTCAACTAGAGAAGGGCCAGGAGCACACTCGTGATTTTCAGCAACTTCTGGTATTACTGTTTCCGATAAATATTCATCAGTCAGCACTTCAGGTTCTATATTCTCATTACTCGTCACTTTCAATGTACTTGAATGGTGTTCAACAGCTAACTGTAGAAGTTTTTTAGCCCTAGTTGTCATCTTTTTTCAATATGAAAGACTGAACCATGAAAGTTTCGGAAAAATAACCTCAAAAAGATTACGAGACACAAAAGTCTGGTAAATCCCAGAATGGAATAATTTTCACTTCTGTGTGAATCAGGCAATTCTAAAAATCGCCACAATAACATAGGTATCTATATTGCCGCTCTATCTTCATGCGTTACTTCTTTATCGACGTCGTAGGAATGGGAAAATTTCAATTTCTGGTACCGCTACAACGGGAATATGCTTACCAGATACATGTAACTGGTATCACAGTGAAGGTGTTAACTGTATCCATACGATTTATGTTCTTTATTATGAAAAATCTTTTGAGTTACGAGTTTTATTTGTGATTTCGATATTTTTTTGAGTGGAATCAGCCGTTCACACAAAATAAATTGGATATCATGAAAACCAAAATGCTATTTAATAATAAACAAATATAGCATATTATGCTAGCTATTTTGTTCCATCTAAACTGTAAAATAGATACCATCAATCATAACGAGGTCAACGTCACATCCTATCCCGACTGTCACTAAAAAAATCTGAGATCAAGATCACGAATTATCACTCATTGTGTACGTCCAACTGCTTTCAGCAGTCGTTTTACCACTGAACGTGGTAGACGATAATTGCTGAATCCAGTTGTTGGATAAAATTAAAGCAAATCAAAAAGAGCTTTTAGCTGAATTCAGAGCAGCGTTTGTCCTGGAAGCACCCATTGTGGTTTTATTATACCATGGTTATCAGTGTCACCACCAACACATAACACTTACTGATTTTGTAATTTGTCATTATTTGCCATTATTTCGTTGGAGTTGAATGAAAAATGGACCACGAAGTTATGTTACAATCAGTGTACCATTGCACTTTACAATGGTAAACCAAGTTTTATTATGGTACATGTAACTATTTAGACAATGTCATTATTATATAGTTCAGGAATATTTTGATAATGGTCTCTACCCTTGATATATTTTGATGATTCTGTATAACATATATCCTTAGTATTTTGAAGTGAATATGAATATGTTTCTTGTTATATTTCGTGCTCAATTACTCAGCCTTTACCCATTTAAGCTCTCTGAATTTCATATCATTTTTATTTGCACTGTAATTGTTCAATACATTTGCAAAATCTAAAATTTTTTTTTTCTAACTGACTTATTTGTCATTCACCAAGTACGATTATGAGACTTTGTCTATATGTAATTTTTTTCGGACGATAAATTGTTTTGATGGTTCATTCTGCTCACATTTCGAAATAAATCAGAGAGCAAAGAAGCGCGCCAAGGTTCCTCACATGTTGGCATTCATAATTCGGTTTTTTTGGGTAATATTCGGTTCTCGTTCAACGACAATATTACTGCGTCTCGCATCGTCCATTCAGTAAATAGCAATGCTGAATTATTTTAATTTTACATTTTCTCTTAAACTCTGCTCCGAATTAACATGCTATAAAAGCCAATGTTCATTTTCACATAACTACCTAGACCCTGATGTGGGTACTCAATTTCAACTCAACTCAATTTCAATTTTGGTATTTTGAATCCCACGACTAAAGAAGAAAAAATAATATTAGTGACTGGAGTAATGTTCTAGAATTTGTGTTCAAATGTTTTCCAATGAAATAATTAATATGAAAAAGCAGTACAATGATTGTACAGTATGTTTTCATTCTGAAAACTAGTTCATTCAGATGTCAGACTGAGAAATGAAACAGTATCTGAACTAACACTTCTCTTCAAGTAATATAACAATTATCTCTATTTTTGAAAAGTATAATATTTTAGAAGTATTAGTGTAATATTAGAAAAATTATCACCTTGCATAAAAGGTAATACATCATTTTCCTGTCCAGAACCACCTCCAGTGAACATTTTCATGAAGTCTTCCTCATTCAAAGGTGCTTGTAAACTCTCAGCACCAGCACTCAGATCTTGAACAGCACGAGATATGGAGGCGGAAAAGTCACTCGAGGCGTCGCATACTTCTGCAGGGTTTTCAAGTACATGATGAGCTGCATCTGTGAAGGTAATTTGGGGAGTAGAAAACTACCAATATAAATTGAAAAATATTCTTCAAACATCAATATCCATAAGATGACATAATTTCAAAGTTGTAGTGTTTCTTCAAATTTATTGGTTTTGAAATTCTTAAAGGAAGCATTTTGAAGAAACTAAAGTTCCCTTGTTTCAAAATAAGATTAATGAACTTAAATATAATAATGTCACCAATTATCCAAATTTAATGAACGTTTAAAAAAACAAATGGTCATCAATCAGATTCTTTTTGAAAAAGAGCTTGCATGTCTTTGTGAACTTACTAATTTGTGAAACTCTAAAAATGATCCAAATACTGTGAATGTCAGATGTCATTTTAAAAACTTTTTTAAGATTTCATGATGAATGATATACTACACCTTTACTTTTGAGGCAAGTTCAAAGTAGGCAGAAAAGAGGTTCAACTCTTTTGAATAATGTAAACATATTGTCGTTGATGTAATCATCAACGGACAATTCGCCTTGTTGATCTTGAGTGCTCCTAACCAAAAATCCCTTCAAATATGAGACAATCAAACAATCAATATCATGCCCAATAAAGGACCAGTAAAAACTCCTAGAATAAATGGCAAATCAGGCAGCTCTCAAGTAGCAAGAAAAAGGTTGTTTAGTTTAGTATTAAATAAGAACATAATGTCTGAAGAAGCAATATAGTATAAAGTGAAATGTGTGTCACGATATCGGAAATCGATCATTTAAAAATATTACAATAAAATGTTGAATAATTTAGTCACTGATTTTTATTAGGAATTGTTCCATTCCATCGGAAACCTATTACTTGTTACTAGTTTGGTTGAATAAGTACATTCGGAAATTCGGAAAATAGTTCCATAGTTGTCTTTCAATACCATACTTTTTAAAATAAAGAAAAAATGATTACCTGCCATTTGTTGCAATTTCTTTTCAAGAAGTTGAGGTGTTATATTTGGATTTGATCCAGCCATTAAACTGGCAAAATTTTCTTCAAACTGCTTCGCGGCCTGTTGAATAAAGTCGTTGGACCATTCTGGTACAGCTCCATTTGAAGGTTCAACTTCTTTCCCTGTCTCTTCAAGTTTCTCATTTTTTTTTACTGGATTGGTCTTGGTAAAATCTTCTAAAGCACCTAGTGAGTAGAATAATTAGTAAGAAAAAAATAATAAGTACCTACAGTACTGTCTAGGAGGTTGGATAATTCCTCATCAACTTGATCCTTCTTAGCTATATCTTTGGAACTGTCACCCATTTTTCAATTCGAGGTTAGGCAGCGTGAAAACTTATTCAAAGGTAATATCAAAATAATGGGTTATTTCAAATAATCTATTAATATATTAAGGTATTAATCTGTATACAAGGCGATTTGATAAAAAGATTAAATGAAAATAATATTCGATTTACTATGGAAAGATCACAAAATTGAAAAATGTTAGGTTGAAGCGGTGTTGCCAGTTGCCACAGCTCAAAGCTCACTGAGAGTCACAAAGCACGTTCTCTGCTGAGAGTCACCATCGGCGAGTCCGTCAGCGAAAACTGGAGGGCGAGAGGTCAAGACAACTGTTGAACATTTAAATAGTTATTCAAATGTCTAACTAAGAGATGGTTGTTTAATTTTGGTTCATTTTACAAATTTCAAGTTTATTTTAAGAGGTTTTGGGATAAATTAGATGTTAATAAGATACCCCCAATTACTCCGGTCACAAAATTCCAATTGATGAAACATATCTTTGCCATATGGCTTATCGGGTTCAAGAAATATTTTTCTCTAAATGATTATCATTTGGCAATTAAATCTATCAGAAAGAAAAAAATTCAAGGAAAAATTTAATCAATGAAATATGAAAAATATGATGAGTTAAAAAAATATATTTAAAAAATTTGACAAAAAAAGAACAATAAGTATGATTTAAAATATATTGAAACACTAATTTGTGAAAAGAAAAAAGTTTAGTTCACTAATACGAAAACAATAAAAATAAAGACAAACCAGTTATCAACCTGAAGTGATTGTGGATACTAACAATCAAAACATCGTGAAGTGTTTTGATTTGAAATATTCATTCATATATTTTTACGTATTTTTTCATTATTTCAATATTTCATTTCGATTTTTATTGTTTACATATGATTATTTTTTCTCATTTTTCCAATATTAAATTTTTTAATTAGCTCATCGGAATATTTCAGTCCTGGTTTCAAATGTTTTCAACCCGAAACTTCGACAAAGTACACCTTAAGGATGATCGACCTCCATATAAGTGCAATTTTAAATCAATGTTTTTTTCATATACAGTGCGGACGTAAATGGAACTTATCTTATATCTTTTGATTGGAAGAAGATATAAAGGTCGGACAAAACTTAACGTAAAAATATATAATTTTCAGTACTAGGTGAACAAACCGAGAGTATGTACTGGACTTAATAACCTACTCTCCAAGCAACCTCAGGGCTGCATATAACTATAAACATACATCGTGGACTATACCAAAACAAGAGGAGAGACTTTCTGGGTCCAGAGAAATCTATTCCAGAAATGTAGTACCGCAAAAAGGCATAATTGGTAGAAGCGAAGACTATGATAGATTTGGAAAAGATTGAATGGGCAGTCAATTCATCTAGACCTGTTAAGTCGAAGGGGTCAGATGATATTTATGACGGGGTCAGATGATATTTATTTAGCAAAGCTCCAAGCGGGACTAGAACTTCTACTTCTACTCAAAGAATTGATGAACCCAAAATTGACATCAAAACTGGTCTGGAAATATCGTGTCGAGAACTGAAAAAACCGCTGGAAAGGAACATGATGATATTTAGTAATCACAAAAAATGAATGAGTATGTCAGATATTTATTATCAACTCCATATAGGGACCTATAACCAGTGTTTTCAAGCTGTAGTTTCGAATTTGCCGAAATATAATAAAGAGAAAACTGAGAAGTTAACTCCTTGAAGTTAATGCCTAGGTACTATAAACCACTAAAGGGTACAATCATTCACTGACTTATATTCATAAATTGTGCCTACAAAATGAAAAAGTCTATACGTAGCTTTCTTCAGATGGTTTAACATCTAAAGGAGGCTAAATTTCGTTTTGGAAAATAATACTTTTCCGTTCTCATAACACAAAAAAGTCACTTGTGAAAAGCATCTCAATGAACCGTCAAAAGATTAATTTCATTGTTTATTCAGTTTATAGGCAATATCTATACTTATAAATGCGAAAGTCACTCACTTAACACTCACTCATTCATGTCTGTTTTTCCTTCCTGGTGAGTCCTAGGAAGCTAAATTCTGGTATATAGGTGCTTCTTTTCTTAGGTCTCAGATGTGCACTAAGAAAGATTTTCAAATATTCCAATTGGGCGTCCCCCGTGGGAGTGAAAGGGGTGCGTTTACATATGAAAAATCGGTACCGCTATAATTTCGTAGGCTGAAATTTTATATGTAGGTTCGTTTTATGTTGTAGATGTGCAATAAGACAGGATTTTTTAATATTCCATATGAGTCGCCAGTCGCGGGGGGAAAAAGGAGCGTTCATATTATAAAGTTACCTTTTCATTACTGTTTCTTCGTACCGGTATATTTTTGGAGGCAGAAATTTTGTATATAGGTTCGTTTTATTTTTCAGATGTGCAATAAGGAAGGATTTTTAAATATTCCAACTGTGAAGTCAGCCGCGGGGGAAAAAGCGCGTCCATAGAACAAAATTATATTTTCATCACTGTTTCTCCATTTTTTTAAGACAGACCACAAGCCCTACAGGAAAATCCTTAAGGCGCTTTAAGAGCGGTGCCTGTGCGAAAGTAGTGATTCACATTGGTTTGAATCGCTTGAGATTAAATCCATTTGGAAAAAACGTTCTCAGGAAGTTTATTCCACATAAACTCAGTTCTCCAAATGAAAGAGTTCTTAAGCAGTGAAGTTCGTGGTATACTGTGTTGAACCTCAAAATGATGAACAGTCACAGTCCGTCGCGTATTTCTGATATGTACCGCTCTTGGTGGAATCAAATGTGCCAAGTCACTTGAACACTTCCCGTGAAAGTATCTATAGAAGAGAGACAAATCCCCAACTTTCCTTCGATGTCTTCGCGTCTCTCTTTTCTGGATGAAATCCAGCAGCTTCAGGGTATGCTTAGGGGCTTAGCTCCATACATGAGAACAATACTCCAAAGAAAGTCTGATTTGAGCTTTATAAAGCATCAAAAGTTGCTGAGGTGTGTTCAGTTTTCTGGTTCGGAACAGTATTTGCAATTCCTGCAAGATGACTGTGCCAAGACATATTGGTGCCCATTTTAACCCCTAACAAACTTATCGAAGCAGAAAGCGGAATTGTCTGACCTGACATTATTATATCCGGTTCGGAGACATTCATCTTTTTGGATAAAACCGATGCCAGTGGGTGAATTTATACTTAGTATCAGCATTGCACCCGTGCGGAGCCGGAACGGGTCGCTAGTTAATGAATAAGACAAGTGGCTGACAAATTGGTCTCTTCAGTGGTTTATATCACGCAGTAACTTTTCGAGATGAACTTCTCAGATTGTCCTTCATTGCATTTCAGCAGATTTTCCATTGAGATATGTTCATTTTTCAGATTGTGGAAGGTTCACACCAAAAAACACTAAAAAATATTGATTTCCCCACAAAAAACGGCTTGAAATAAAAATGATATATGCACTTACCAGCAAAATAATAGATTTATTTGAATCTCAAATCGTTGATGAATTCAATAGGTTGTTATCATTCCGATGACCAATGTTGACTAGATAACTGTTAGGTACTGTGTTTACAGTTTCAAAAGTCATAAGTATTTGGTTCAATCTTTGAATGAATTGTATATCATTTCATTTCCGATTAAGTCTTGAACAGAATTAATTAATATTTGGTAAATAAAGAGTTTCCGCAATCAAATATCAATTTCACGTCGAAATTCGTTTTAAATTCAATTATGATTCTAATGAGATATTAATTTAATTATTGATATTACGAAATTGATGGGTAAGGCATCTGGAAGTAATATTGACACTATTGTAAAAAGTAATAATGTGGATGATGCAAGAATCAGTATTCATTTAAATTATGTAATTATGAGAATAAACTTCAAAGTATCGTACTCATTGAATTTTTGGTCACTTGACCTTTGAAAGTAATATGAGTTAGCTAAGTAGAAGTACATTAAAACATAGAGAACGAAATTTAGGCTGGTAGGACTTGGTCTAATGAAACCTGAAGTACTAAATGTTTCGTCTTCTACTGCGGCATACATCATCAGTGGTATGTGCCGTGACTTCCAGGACGAAGATTATATCTCTAAGTCTCTGTCGTTCCTGAGATTTCGAAATATAACCTACGTCCTCGTAGTCAACGCACTTACTACTGATGATGTCTATTTCTACCAGAGCGGAATTTGTTCTCTCTAAAAGTACACACGGTTTGTACATTTTCACAGCTATATTTTTTTATACTTGACCGTGATTTGAACAATTTTTAATACACCAAACTGATGGATGTAGCCGTTACTACGTGCGTAGGAGATCATCATGAAAAATGAGAAATGAAACTTGCTATGTTTCTTTACCACTTTTATTTGTAACTAACGTAACTGCAGTTTCGTCCTATAAGGACATTTTAAAACTAATACAGCAGTTTATTGTATTAGTTTCAAAATGTCCTTATAGGACGAAACTGCAGTAATATTGATTACAAATAAAAGTGGTAAAAAACATAGAGAGTTTCAGTTTTCATTTTAATACACTAGGTGATACCGTTGTAGGCGACGAAGTTCTTTGGCACCAAATATTTAGTTGAGGTGAACCTAACACTAAGAGAAAAGTAAAAAAACAAATCAAATAAAATGAAGCAGTCAAGAACACCGCGCGATTACTTGGAAATAAAGAAGAACATTTAGGAAAGGGAAAAAGTTGTTTAGGTACATACGAGTTTTAGAGATTAAAAAATGTTTTGACAATGTTGTGTTTATGTTATGTATGTTATGTTATCTTATGTTAAGTTGCGTTACGTTACGGTACCTTACGTTACGTTACGTTATGTTATGTTATGTTTGTTTGAATGTAGTTGACAATGTTGTTTGGTGTATTTCATTAGTTTGAACTTCTATTGTCTAATATGATANATAAACAATTATTTAATGATAATAGTGACATTTTCCCTCTCAAATAAATCTCAGCGGAAATCAGTGATACCCTATTTCAGCGTTATACGTTTTTAATTTGTTTCGGTTCAAAGAGGCGGTTTCAGTACTTCCGCAGTACATCCAAGAATATTCACAGCGTTTAGGTAAACAGTTCTTCCGGAACGACCACGTTGTAGTGAAAGTACCAAATGTAATAATGATTTGAAAAAGTAACCACAGTCTTATTCCGTAAATTGAAAACATTCTCACGTATTTGCCTACTTATATCATCCAAGAGCTGATGACAGTATATTATAGAAACAAATATTCAGTTCTTTGATGACGTGATATCAACTT